GCTCACTTTATTCAGAAACATGTAGCAAAGATCCGGGTGTGCCATTTCAAAAGATATGATTGAACTACCAAACAACTAGTCTATATCCTTTTTAGACCCAGAACATGGTTTATGACAATTCGGGGATCTTTTAAGATACCAAAGCATGGCTTTGGCAATACATAAGAAAGCCATGCTCTAGCTTTAACCTGATCAGAACCATTCAATTACTTCTTCTATGGGGCAAACTGTTGTCAGCATTATATTCAAACTGACAAACTATGGATTGCACCTACAAACCAGGATTGCAAATCAGCTTCTAATCATGTTTCAAACTGTGGCTTGCACTAAAAAAGGAATTCAACTGTAACATGCAAAGAGTATGTAAGGAGCGATGAAGCCGTGCAAATCTTTCTTGTTACAGGGCAATTAAGAGAATCATATCATGTTGGCTTTAGAGGATGAGACTCAGCTACCAGAAAACAATGTGAGACTGTAAGTTATTTGCTTAAACCATAAATATTTCACATTACCATGGTCACTGGGTGAAATATAATTGTCACCCAAGCTCCTAGGCTGAATTACAAAGAACATATTGATAATGTACCATGAATGAATAGTTCAACTTCAAAACCCTTCTGTTGTCTTCCAAAATAATAGAAGCAGAGCAGAGCCTCAAATAACATAATGGGGCTGCGGGGTGGGGTGGCGGAGAGAATGATTTAAGCATCTCAACAACATTTTCCATTGCCTGTTTATTTTGCAAGGCTGTACTTTCAGAGGTAATTTACAAGAGAGATGAGGTAACAGTAAAATTTGTGCAGGACGAAGGTTAATGCAGGCCCCACAGACTGTGTGCAGACAGTGTAGCCACTTAGGTGTGCTGGAGTCTGCAGAGCAATATTAAAAATGCTGCACAGGCAGGCAACTCATCAGAGAGCAACTTAATCTGTCTAAATATTCTCATTACGTACATGGCATTCAACTTCCATTCTTGAAGCACGGGAACAGAGACCATTTCCAGAGGACTTTTGGGACATTAAACCATGAAATAGGACTTTATGTCAGTCATTCACTCCTCCTCTTTCCCAGCTCCGAGATACAGTGTTTGAAAGTTATTACTGCACTGAAAGGGAGGGGAGTAAAGACAAACAGGGACATTGGGAGGGAGACAGAAGGCTTTTCTAGGATGAAAATTGCCCAGTGGATACCACTGATTTGTTTTAAAACTGCAAATAATTCTAAGGATGCAAAGATCTTGTGGCATTTCTTTTCCATTTTGTTGGCTGCATTATTATTAATATTTATTTAATTTATATACTGCCTTTCATCAGAGGGTCACAGGGTGGTTTACAGTACATAAACAGAAAAATACATAATCCAAACATATGAGGAAAATGCATAAAATTTAAATTCAAATAATCTATCACAGTGTCATTTGGAATTCTAAAGGTCACAGGGAGCAATGGAAAGAATACACAGAAAGAGAGAATACAAATTCCACAGTCCTTAATAAACTTGTAATTTCAGATGGAAGTTAAATTTATCTTAGACTACACAGTATACTAGGAAGGAAGGAAATCACATCAGACTCAATGGAATATCAAAGTAAAGGACTTTAGCATTGGTCTTTCAATATTTCTCTCTCCCCATACTGTAATTAGCTTACTTAAAAGGCTCTATTACTTTCTACACAACAGATTCAATGGAAGAAGTTCAGAAAATATGAGACCCGCTGTTGGAAAATGCTTTAGAAAGCAAGTTATCTTCTGCAAATGTTCAGTCCATAAACAAACTTACATGCACAAAAAGGTGAATGGTCAATGCATATACTTTGATGTTTTTCCCTTCTACTTTTGATTTATTTTATCATAGAATCATTGAATTGTAGAGTTTGAAAGGATTCTGGGGATCATCTAGTCTAACCCCCAAAATGCAGGATTCTCCACTAAAGCATCAATGACAGATAGCTATCTAACCTCTGGCATGACTTGTTTTTAAGAAACCCATGATGATTCTTAGTAATCACAGCTCACAGACAGACCATTTAATTATATGTTCTAGAACCTTTCCTGGTATCGGTGTCAAGCTGACCAGTCAGTAGTTACCAGAGTCTTCTTTTTCGTTTTGTTTTTTGTAGATGGGGACAACATTTGCCCGCCTCCAGTCTGCAGGGACCTCACCTGTTTTCCAAGAATTCTCAAACATTGTACAAAGAGGCTCAGAGATTACATCTGCAAGCTCCTTTCGTATCTTTGGCTGCAAGCTCATCAAGCCCTGGATATGTGAATTAATTTATAGTAACTAGGTGTTCCCTTACCACCTCGTTTCCTATTTAAATAATCACAGTGATTTTAATTTATGTAAGCTGCCTTGAGTAGAGCAGACATATTATAAAAAAATGCAGACTGAAAATAATTCAAGAATTTAGCCAAGCTTCGAGGTCCATCCCTACATACTCTCACTTTCTGCATAAACATATCTCAATAGCCTCAATCCAGGGGGCCACATGACAGGGCTTCCAAGTCTGCTATTTTTAGATGTGGTCCTCCATGCCATCCAACAAGCAGTCAACCGAGTCTCCATACAAACATGGATGAAACCTCAGTAACAGCCCACTATAAGCAACTGCTGCCAGTTTAAAAGTGAGTGCGTTTAAAAGTCATTTCATGTATCAAAGGGCTTTCTAGATCAGAGCTAACATCTTTCTTTCTTTCTTTCTTAGGGTGGGGGGAAGAGAAGTATTGCTACTCATGCCACTATTAGTTTAAATTAAAAAGATGTCCAGAGCACCTTCTGTCTCTATCACTCAGCTGCCTCCTTAACTTCTTCTCCCCATTTCCCTAGCAACCCCACCTTCCCAGCCCCATGTTGTGCTCAGGTCCTGTCTCTGGACTTCTCTTAAGCATCTGGTTGACCACTGCGAGTACTAGATACTGGACGAGATGGACCATTGGCCTGATTCAGCAGGCTCTTCTTAAGTTCCTATGTGTCAGACCCAAGGCCCATCTCCAAAGCAGTTGCAGGTTTTGCTGGGGTAGAGTAATCTGAACAATCTAAGTGACATGGTAGAGACATTGAAAATGACAGAAGAAAGACAAATTCAGAGTAAAGCACCTATCGCTGATCTACAGTTTACCAGCTCTTCTGATTTATTCTTCCACATTCATTTAGTGATGTGCTAGACACTACATAGAATACAGAAATGACAACCAGGCTATGTGACACTGGTAAATTTGAACTGACACTTTGATCTAATAAAAGAGAAAGAATCAATGCTGCTATGGACCTGACAAATAATAAAGTATTGTTCAAATCCAAAACAAAGACACCAAAATTGTGTCATAGAATTTGCACACCCAGAGCAATAAACCTTCTGTTTCTACAAAAGTCACAATATTATTATTTTTTAAATCTCTGGCTTTATGAATTACAGGTGCAATAAATGGGAGGTACGGATAGTAATTAATGCATGTCTGCCTTTCCTGATGAGCTCCTTCTGGTGGGTCAGAGTTATTGAAATTCATTGAGAAAATCTTCAATCATGCAGAAATTCTGAAGAAATAGGCCTAGATGCAATTTAATAAAGCAATAATATTTCTTTTAAATAATTAACCAGGCTGTGACATTTGCTAATATTCCTAAGGCCTAACTCCTGCTTCAACATTATTACTGGGTGGCGGCGGGGGGGGGGGGGAGAAGTGTGCTGCTCAGGGAACTGATCCAGTCAGCACTCACAAAACCCCAACATGTACATGCACAGTCAAATGAAAACTGAATATATTGCTCTGGGTCACTTCCTCATTGCCAGCAGTTATGTTTACCTTCAGCCTTCAACTGCAATATTTATTTTTATCCATAACTCTAGTTCCACAGTACTTTGGTTGGTTTTATTGTTCAGTAAGAGAGAATTCCTTTAATTTACTCGTCCTTGCCCCCCACTTCCTATCCCAATTATTATTATTTTGTGCTTAGATGCAATCAGCTATCTGCCACTTATGTCAGAGCAGGTTCCTTTGACATGGATGCTTTAAAACATGCAGTTTCTATCACAGAACAGAGAAAATTCTATTGGAATTTAGTAGTATATTGGAATACTACTAAAAAAAAAGGCTAATAAAAAGGTCAATTAAAAAGACCCGTTTCCTGATAAAGAGGCATTTGTGAGGAATCTGCCTACATATAAGACACAGAACTACATAAACGCTTGAAGCATTCACAAGTAAAAGGCATCTAATCTTGTGCACATACACATACCATGAAATTGAAAGAAAACAAGGATTAAGATTCTTCAGAGTGATTTCAGATACAAACTATAAATTCTTGTAAGATTATCATCATTTCACCAGCAATGCAGCTGCTTATTGCAACACACAGAAAAAGCAGCAAAGCAGGAGGAAAACTATTGGGGGGAATCCAAGTGAACAACTAAACAGGACATCATACTGTAAGTACAGCCAGAATTCACAACGTGGCAGCAATGTCAAATTCATTTTTGTTTCGGAGCACAGTGAACAAGAACCCATTCACTGTTGGATGGACTGCTTTTCAAGACAAGAATGACAAACCTTGAAGGCTACTAAGTCCATCTTCAACATTTGGGTAACAAGTGTCCAGCAGGAAAAGGAGAGGGAAGGGGCTATCAGCAAGAGTAGATGGTTATCACCAATAAAATTTAAATCAAACAAAGTCATATTTAGGGTAGACCCACTGAAACCTATAGGTGGCATTTTATGATGTCTGCTTGTTTGAGCAATGGGGCTTCTGGCATGTTTTCAACCCCTACAGCCCCCCAACCCTGCAATGCAGATTTCGGGTGTAAGAAAGGAAGGAGAAACCCCATTGCATACATGAATGCCTGCTTGTGCTACATTTGATCTCACCCAGCAGTTCACTCAGCAGTTCACAGATTTCAATGGGTATGACTAATACTGGGTATCACCCTTAGCATGTAAGCATCCCTTCAGAATCAGTTATTTAATTAAGGATGTAAAATTCCCCCAGGCGCAGGAGATACTCACCAGATAAATTCTATAAGCATCAATCCTTCTGATTGGTCCCCAGCACTTGTCTGTGTCATTATACTTAGTACCATCTTCAACACTGCATGAATGATTGCCCGTCACACTACTGACAAGAGGGAGAAGCAAAAGCAGACCACAGTTAATGCACCTATGCATGGGCATAGCAGCTGCCCCTCATTAAAAACACTTAATTAATTGAGGTTCTCCCCATCCATAAATCCTGGCTACACCCATGCACCTATGCAAACCCCAGCCACCATTCCTCCCCACACTTTTTTAAAGGATGATGGAGAATTTCCTCTTACACAGCACACACCATGTGGAGTCTCGGTCAATCAAGAACTCCACATTCTTCAACACTGTACCTAATGGATTTGGCATGTAAGGTATATGTAGACATTTTAAAAAATAGAAGTGTTTCTTGATTAAAGAAATAGTAGTCATTTAATCATATAACTTGTAATTCATTGAATAAAGTCAGATTAGTTTGTGTATGAATCAACAACAGTATTGAAGAAAAGGCTATTTTTGTATCAGGCTCCTAGTCTTAGAATACCCATTCCCGGCTGTGTGGGATAGAAGGGGGAATGTATGTTCTATAGTGTCACCTGTCATTCATGCTTTTTGTAAGAAAGGTAAAGGTAAAGGTACCCCTGCCTGTACGGGCCAGTCTTGACAGACTCTAGGGTTGTGCGCCCATCTCACTCAAGAGGCCGGGGGCCAGCGCTGTCCGGAGACACTTCCGGGTCACGTGGCCAGCGTGACATCGCTGCTCTGGCTCGCCAGAGCCGCACACGGAAACGCCGTTTACCTTCCCGCTAGTAAGCGGTCCCTATTTATCTACTTGCACCCAGGCTTTTTGTAAATACAGGCATAAAAATTATTTTAGACCATTGTAAAATCTGCTGCCCAATTAGTCAGCAGCACCTTCTGATAATCTAATCTAATCAAAGAATCAATCAAGTAAGCATTGCAGCCCTATAAAGAAGTAACTCACAAATTAGCCCCTAGACCTAGTTTTTGTCAATATGCTAAGCACTGTCAAATTACATCAGAACAATGTAACCCACTCTGGAAAATTAGTTTGAAGTGTGAGGTAGAAATACTTTAAATTTATTAATTACAACCAGCAAGTCAATCTTCTGCCAGAGCCATCAATGTGAAATGGTTATGCAATCCTCCGACATTTCAGCAAGAAACTGCTGCTTTCAAAATATTGCCACCGAAAGCACACTCACCAGGTCACCTGCATGAGAGAAACTGGGACAGCAGCTGCATATATCGCCAAATCACCATAGAGGTAGATGATTATGCAGAAATAGAACAAGTTGACTCCCACTGTAAATAAAGGGAATAGTAAACATAGGTTTAGACTAGACCAGTCTGTTCCTGTAGTTTCACTTTTTACACCAGGATCTATCTAGGAACCTTTTGTGGATCACCACTTCAACTTGCTGTGCTGCAAAAAGGCTTCTGGGGAAAACATTTCACGACTCTATTGGCAACACCTTGTTCATTTCACCTAGTTGAATGATCTTCATTTGTAAAAAAAATCAGCCCTAGCAATTGCCAGGACAGAGTTCCTGAGGGGCAGTCCAGTTGTCTAAGACTAACGTAACTGTATAAGCATGCATTTTCAACATTATTAAAATATTTGTATACTGTATTTTCATAAAAGATAACAAAACCATTTACAACAATTATAATACAATAAAAACCACACAAAAATTAAAACAGTTCTCCATCTCACTATTAGGGGAAATGTTTCTTAATTGTCTTCATAAGCCTAGCAACAGAGAAGTTTTCAGCAAACATTTGAAACATTAGTATAGAAGGTGCCTGCTGAATCTCTAAGGCTCAGTTCTGTGTCTACGTCAAATGAGCCTCACCATCTCACATGATGCTCTTACATATGATCTCAGTGATTGCAATGAAATAAAAGGGTCAAGGTGGTCCCTGAGGCACCCTGGACCTATGGTGTTGAGCCCTTCATCAATTAATATAAAAAAGGTAAAGGACCCCTGACAGTTAAGTCCAGTCGTGAAAGACTCTGGGGTTGCAGCGCTCATCTCGCTTTTCTGGCTGAGGGAGCTGGTGTTTGTATGCAGACAGACTAAGCCGCTTCTGGTGAAAATCAGAGCAGGACACGGAAACGCCATTTACCTTCCCACCAGAGGGGTACCTATTTATCTACTTGCACTTTGACGTGCTTTCGAACTGCTCGGTTGGCAGGAGCAGGGACCAAGCAACAGGAGCTCATCCCGTCGCGGGGATTCAAACCGCCAACCTTCTGATCGGCAAGCCCTAACGATGAGCAGCCCATGCAGATATTTCTGTACCAGCTAGAGCTTCTGAGCTAGGCCTAGGGGCAACCTCAGATACAGTGCATTGTGTAATGTAAGAGCACAAACAAGGTGCTTAAAACCAGCCATTATCTCACAGCAAACAATGGTAACCAATATTAGTCAGAAGGAAGGTATTTTGCAAAGATGACTTGGCCTTTCCTGCTTCAGACTTCCTTACCCTGCAGATATGTAATCAAATGCCTGCATTAACCTAACCAGTTCTATAGTAGCTCCATTTAAAAACCAGATGCAATTCTACTTCCACAAAGTTTGCATCCCATAAAACAGGAGTGCTGAACCTCAGACCCAGGGGCCAAGAATGTCTTCCACCAAGCAACTATACCGGGCTATTTTCATGTGACACCCCCTCCCCTGCCATGCCCCTCACGGACTCTGCTTTGGCTCCCTCCTTGAGTGCTTTGGCATGGCTGGAATATGGCACTGAACAGTGCCTTTTCTGGACTAGCTGGAGGACATACAGACATGTGAGTGAGTGTAAATTAGCCTAATGTATACAAGTAAAATGCGACCCCCAGACTGAAAAATATTCTCCACCCCGCCATAAAATGTTCCCTATCCTATATTCCGTTTTATCAAGGGAAATATTCACTGCCACCATACCCTTGCTCTAGAGGACGCAGGTGAGACAGACTTTATAGTTTCACAGACAAAAAGAATTACCGGGAGGCAAACAAACTCTGCTTTGATGAGCAGAAATCAATAAGGATAAAGAGATGCCAAAATGCACCAGCTTGACTTAAAAGAAATAGAACTGAATGCCTCAATCTGAACAGATTTCATTTCCAAAGGCCACTGAGACAAGGAAACAAAACACGCATTGTTTCGTATAAAAGGAGAGAAGACAGGAATATTGTAAGAAAGCAAAAAATAAAGGAGCTTGACAGGAATACTAATCTAGTCTAGAATTTTGGTGCACAACTTCTAACTGCACATTACACTAGCAGCTCCACCATACAAAATGCTTCAGCTGTTATGGTGGAGTGTTTTATGATGCAATCTAACACAGGATTTTGAGCTTGGCAACAGAACAGAGCCATATATTGATACCTAAATTGTTGTGGCACCACTGCTACTAGAAAAATAGAAGCTTTACAGCAATTCACAGCTGTGCTTTATGACAGTACGAGGCCTAAAAGTGACTTTAGGTGTGGCCATCTGTGAGGAGAGCAGAAGTGCCTTGCCATTCCTATTCTCTGAGTTTCTTTGTGTCATCCAGAGAATTTCCCTGTGACAGATCCCAGATGACCTAAAGGACAGCCCACCTCATGTTTAGCCATTTAAAAGAGAACCAAAGTCTCCAGAAAGATCCATATGATCACCATTTTTTATTTCTTCCTCTACAGTGAGATACATGAACTACAGGTACAAATATCTGTGGGGGAGATACGAGAATTCTGCTTTGAAGACCAGGGAGAACTCACATGTCCTGGAAGTTACAATGTCAAAGCCTTAACACAAATTCATATCTCAAAAAAACATGTGAAAAGAAAACAGTGCAAACCAGTTTGCAACAACCTTCTGACCAAGGGAGGAAAATAATTTGTTAAGTAAAGAAAACAATTATTCATTACCCCAGAAGTGAGGAGCCTGTAGCCCTTCAGATGCTGGCTGACTATAACTCCCATCAACACTGGCAATAGTAGCTCAGGCTGATGGGAGTTGGAGTCCAAAAACATCTGGAAGACCACAGGTTCCCCATCCCTACACTACATCAATAACTGACTACAAGGAGAGGATCGCAAAAGACTGCAGCCGAAAATATTTTTCGCATATTCAGAAAGACATTAATAGTGCCTTTAATTCATCACAGAGCCTCCAGAAGAGTACATTTCATATTGGGAAAGATTGAGAAATGAGATCACAGCTATTCCTTACATTTAAATAGGAGTGAGTATCTCAGCATTACTTGGATAAATGGGACAGAAGAAAAAGGGTGAAGAAAGCTTAACAAAATTAGGTGTCCTCATATCATATCCAATATGTATGTACATCAGTGCAGTGAGTCGTGCCGTCATTTATCCATAGTAGTGACTCCAAAATTAGGTGCACAGCTAGTTTTTCGTAATACAAAGTGACACCAAGTCCAACACAGCAATCCTAAGCATGTTTTCTCAGAAATAAGATGCAATAGGTTTAATGGGGCTTACTCCCAAATAACTGTGTAAAGGATAGCAGCTTTAAGTGTCACATCCAGAATGTCAAATTTAAGTAAATATCAAACAAAATAAAATATGGAAATTATACTCACTTTACACAACTTTTTATTTACCAACATATAAAATAGGTAAATAAAATAAAAAAACAGAAAAGTTATATGACATTTGGGCTTCATGGAATACTAGCAAGCAAAGGAAAATTCTGTCTTAAGAGATGTGAGATCTTTCTTTTAAAGTGTTGACATCTATGAAGAAAAAGCTGAAAGGAAGCATGCTTTAACAAATGCTTGAAAAGGTCACCACAACTCAAGAGATTGGTTTCCCCAAATGATTATCAATCAATGCCTAAACAGTACGTTGTAAATGAACATGGTAAAAGGACACAGTGAAGGGGATGGAAGGAAGAATTCCTATTATTCACTGTTGCCATCAGACCAACAGGTATGGTGCCCAAGCTGCTAGGTCACTTGACTACAGCCCTCTTACATCTAATTTACACTAGGAACTCTGTAGGAAACAAAAGTTGAATGTACTGCTTTCATTTGTTTGGCAAAATAAAGGCCTGTGACTTAGCCACAGTAGCTCAGAGCATTTAAAATATTCAGATAAGCTGTATTTTAAATATTTTAAAGCTTCTAACAATTTGAAATCACAACATTTTAACCAATCCTGTTGTCCTCTGCAGAACATCTCAGACCCACTTCTATGTTGTTTATTCAAGGCACACATCTCAGCTGAGGATTTGGGGTGAAAGCACCACCCTATAGTCTCCACCCTCTCCACCTACAGATAGACGTTAGTGTTGTTTCTGTTTTATAAACTGCCACCAACCTTCATTGATCAATACTTTCATTACTGGACACAAAACAGGAAGATCAATGACTTCCTGCAAGGATGGTACATGATGTATGTGCCTTGAATCCATTATTACAATAAATGACTTCTGGATCCCTGATAAAGAGCACCCAGCTATCCTTCAGAATAGATTCCCTTCACAGCCAGAGGCCCCTTTTTTCTCCTTAGAGTTAAGACTGCAAATCTATTCCCTACAGAAAGCAGACAAGTCAGAGGTGGAAGATTTATACACAGCTCAACTCTTAAGATTGCAGATCCAGAGCATGTCAAATTGTTAAGATAGTCAAGGGAAATGAGCAAAGAATACAGTGAAAACAAGGATTTTGCTTTTAACAGGCCAATAACTCTCAAAAGAAGGTATAACAGAGCCGCAACACATCTTCACCTAGCCATGAAACTCTGAAAGCCTTATTCATTGACTGTACTGCATAAATCTCATGACCCTAATAGCAAACCTGCCAGGTTGCGGTCGGGGTGTAACATTAGCATACAGTCACTGCGCGGATTTGTTTGGGGGTTCAAATAAAACAACATAATACACAGAATGGGGCAGTAAGAAGTTCTCCCTTAAGAGCAAATAATTGCTATAGTTCATTGAAGAATGCATGTGCAAATTCTGATTATGCTTAACTGCAGTAAGCCTGGTTGAGTTCTGAAGGGATGGGATTAGAGAATTAGGACAGTTGAAAAGATCTGGCACTTCAGAGGGGAGGCGAAGACATCCAAACCAACTGGAGGAGAAAGGCTTCTACACAAACCAGACAAGCTGCCCAGAAACAAAGATGAATAGATGAAGTAAGAACAGGAGATGTATGGTAGTAAACAGAAGCCATTAATGTAGTAGTAGTAGTAGTAATAATAATAATAATAATAATAATAATAATAATAATAATAATAATAATAATAATAATAATAATAATTTATTTATACCCCGCCCATCTGGCTGTGTTTCCCCAGCCACTCTGGGCAGCTTCCAACAGAATATTAAAAATACAATAGCCTATTAAACATGAAAAGCTTCCCTAAACAGGGCTGCCTTCAGATGTCTTCTAAAAGTCTGGTAGTTGTTTTTCTCTTTGACATCTGGTGGGAGGGCGTTCCGTAGGGCGGGCGCCACTACCGAAAAGGCCCTTTGCCTGGTTCCCTGTAACTTGGCTTCTCGCAGCGAGGGAACCACGAGAAGGCCCTCGGCACTGGACCTCAGTGTCTGGGCAGAATGATGGGGCCTACTTGGTGCCTTTAAAATAGGGTTGGGGAACCTGTGGCCCTCCATACATTGCTCTCAACTGCCATTGGTCCCAGCTAGCATGGCCAGTGATTAGGGATTTGGGGAGTAGTACTAAAACAACATCCAGAGGGCACAGGTTGTCCAACTCTGCTTTAAAATGAAGGGGCTCTTCAAGCCTAGTATCAAAATATATTGCCTATCAAATGATCTGTGGGATCTGCAACCTCTTAAAATTACCTGAGAAGTTTGGGGAAATAGCTCTCTATGGAAATCCTCACTACCACCTATCTGAAGGAGATCAAGTGACTCGAGCAACTTTTAAAAGGGGCCACAATAGTGTGCTGATTGAAACCCAAGAGAGTCCGGCCAATCTGCATGCCCTATCTTTCAAAATCACTCTCTAGGATTTAAACACTAAGCTGGTCACTCTAATACAGGCATAGGCAAACTCGGCCCTCCAGATGTTTTTTGGGACTACAATTCCCATCATCCCTAGCTAACAGGACCAGAGGTCAGGGATGATGGGAACTGTAGTCCCAAATCATCTGGAGGGGCGAATTTGCCTATGCCTGCTCTAATACATGTTTAATTAAACACTGGCTTTCACCTCACCATCCAGACATTTTAAAACTTTCTGCACAACTTTTCTTGATACAGAAACTAGTTACTTTATAGAGCTCAGAGATACTCAGAAAGCTAACTTCTATTACTATCAAGGTACTTGTGGATCTGTGAAACCTGCATGATGCTTTCAAAACTCTGAGCACCAAGATGTCACTTTAACATATAACATATAAGATGTCACTTAACACATAAGACAGAACAGAAGCAAATATCGTGGAAATACAGGTATCCATGACTTTGAGGGGGGCCTTCTTTCACCAAACCTACTGTAATTATTCAATATTCACATTCTCTCGTCTAAAAGAAGGAACTTGACAGCATGGTCTACTTATGGTAAAGGGAAAACTAAAGAATGAAGGTTTTGTGTGAATTACAAGTTGAATAATTAAATAATTAAATAATATTCAACTACTACTGTTCTGAATTCACACATGTGACCTGAGCACCCTCTGCTGGGTGAAGTTATCCATCACAGGAATTAAAACAGAATGCTAGCATACCATTCAAGGCAAGCGGTTCATATCTCTAGCAGTTCAATCTGGGCTTAGTATTCAAATGAATCTGTAATTGGGCTGCATCTTTACAACCTACCCACTCACTAGGATGTCACTCACAGGTTTATTTTATCTGTACTGCTCTCAACAAGCCTCATTAACACCAAACCCAAAACCAAGTTCCTTCTGTCATACTGAAATACACCCAACAATATTTTTTTTTAATAGTAGCTAGCTCCAGTTCCCAAACCCTAACTCCTATGTCAAGTAGCTCTACCATTGCTTAAGAACTTCAGTGGTTTCTTTGAGAATGAAAGAGTGCAAAAGTGCAAATAGGATGCAATTTAAATTACTATTTGCTTTTATCCAGGATGAGGAGTACAGCACATTAGGGATATGGAAAATGTTCAGCACCTTTAACAGTACTACAAAAATTGTTACCTGGAGCACAATACATATTAGTAAACATTTTGAGACTATTTAATACGGCATTTATGTACAGCAAAGTTCTTCAGCTGACTACCTTTCTACTGCCAGTCCAGATGTGTTATAGTCATTCCTTTAAAAAAATTCAAGCCTTATCAAAGATAATTATTTACACTCTGAGACAGAAAGATAGATTGGTGTCACATGTCAATCTTTTCTTTAAAACTACAAGCACTTAAAACTTTATTTTAAGTGAGACTATGTCTCTCGAAGCCAAAATACATGAACACACAGACAAGATGGTACCTGTTTCTCCACCTCCAGACATAATTAGTAGCCAGGAGAAGTAGGTATTCAGTATCTCAAGCAGATTTGAGACCACAAAAAGCCTTAAATATCCCTATTTAAAAGAAGTTATATATTCACATGGGGTGGGGTGTCAAACTTGACATTTAGGCTTTAGGAACCATTCAGAAACGCTCTGGAAAAGTGGGTGATTCCTATTATGGTTCGCACATGTAGTTTTCACTTGAAACTGTCATTCCTCAAGGAAAACACCAACTACTAAGAGATTCTGACAAAAGCTAGGTTAAATAAAAAACAACCAAATATACATAATATGAAATAGAGCCTTCGTGGCTTGGAGGTAGTTACCTTTATTGAAGAACATGGATGCCATCTGACCCATCTCCACCCTTTCAGTGATTTCAAAAACGTTAGGTGCTCCTCGTCTCTCTGCAGGGTTAGAGGGAAGGAAACTCTTAGCCTACATCTCAAAGATGGGTCCCGCTCAAGCCACAACCTGTTCTCTCTCCATCTTGCTCAGACATGTAAATTAACACTTTCCTGTGTTGCTTATAACAATAATTGCCTGCAGGAGACCAGAAAAGGAAACTTTATAACAGTTGATATTCCCCCCCCCCACTACAAATCAGGTACTGTACATGCAAGGCAAAAGGACGAATAAAACTCTGCAAACTATTACATTTGGGATTTTACTTGCAAGGCTATATGTTGTTGTAAGTTAAGATGCTGGCTCAGAGTTAACATTTTGGTCTGAAAGGCAACTCACAAATGATTTCATATAAAAAAGATTCAGGGGGTTTTCAGTTGTACATTTTGTGTCACTGAAACCCTGTGGAAGCAAGGCTAGGGAGAAAACAGGGTTGCCAGTGGCTTGATACCTTGATAAACTAGTTTTCTTGAATTGTAAAAATGCTAGTATTGTGTTTCTCAGAAAGCTACTACATGTGCATGTGTATACAAGACACAGGGAAAGTAGGCTGTGTCTAACTTTCTCATTTGTTCTCTGCCCTGAAGAAAAACTCATAGGAGTGAGAAAAGTTTCTTGCTAGATACTTACGAAGAGATAGGATAGGTCTTGTCTCTGATCGCTCGTAGCCTTCAGGAAGAAGAACATCACTATCAGAAACGCCAGATGAAGAATCCTCATCATCATCCTAGAAGAGTAAGAAATAAGCATAAGTGTTCAAAATATAGAATAATTTCAGAATTCTGACAAGAAACAGAATGTCAAGAGGTAAAAATGAGGAGTCTTTACTTGCTGGAAAAAAGACTAAACCTCTCCAACTGAAAGCCTTCTGGCATGCTTATAGCTTCAAGCTGGTCCACCAAAAGGCTGAGCATCCATCCCAGTGCCAGGGACAAAATGGCTAAGTTTGTGATGAATCAAGTTTTGCAACATGGTGCAGAATCTACAGCCAGATTTTAAGGGTAAACACATAACAAATGAAATGAAAACAGAGCTGCTCCACTGAGATTTTATAGCTATGAAGAAAAATAATTAGCAGCCAAATGAAATGCCACACAAACCTTGTGCTTTTCCATTCTCTTCCAACGAAGCTGGGCATTTGCAGCAGCCATGGCCTCCATTACAAAAGTTGTGGTCATGTAGCTGGCAGAAAAATGGTAAAAGTACCAGTTGGTTAATAACAATGGGTTGCAATATTCCATCCCCACCTACATAGCCTTTAACCTATATATTCTAAGGTGCAAAGTGTAAACAAAATTGGGGATTAAGGGCATGACTGTACACAGTATGGGCAGTCACACAATGTTGTTCTTGCATCTGTCCTGTTTATGTATAAAGCATGGAAGAGATTCTATTTTTTATATCAAAAGAGTCAGATGGGTTTGGAGAGCTGGTCTTATTCTCCCCATGCTGCACTGCTGCAGACACTTTTATTTTCCTGTCCTCCATCATTTCAGGTCAGGGACTTTCCCACTACAATCCAGCTCACTTATGGTACTGTGGCTGGGCTGAGTTGGGCAAAAAGTGTGTAAAGTGATGGAGTGCAGAAATGTAAGACAAGTTAGGAGGGAGGCTCAGCGCCCCTTACTGGAGGACTCATCTAATGTTAAAGAAATGCTCTCTACCTGTTCTCTATTCATGAATGATGTAGACACATGAGCAAGAAAATTTGCTTGCTCTCCATAATGTCTGGACACTTTCTTAGTGGTAAGGCAAAAGAAAATTAACATGAGCAAAGACCCTCACACATGGCAGCACTGAAGAAAGCAGAAAGACCAGTGCACAAGTGTTGCATGCTACCAGGAGCATATTCTGAACAACCTTAACTGAAATGAAAAAGAGCTGCATAAATTCATGTCTCTGTTCTTATGTTACTCCCATTCATTTTAATGAAATTTCTGCTGCACAAATCTTGGTGGATTGTATCCCCAAATCTCAAGAATTACAGAACTGAATCTAACTGGAGTAATAAATTATAGGATAAGCACATTTCATAGGACATCTCACTATACATCAATTACAGCAGGATGATCATGGGCAGTCATGGGGGACAATTCCGCTATCTATAATAAGGTGCAACATGGTAGCTATAAGAGATTTAGTGCCTTGGATGGAAGGTGCAGCTAAGGTGCATGGGACTAAAAAGCTTTGGTCGCCATGATGAATGTGTGGCCCTGCTTCTTCTACTTGATCTATAGGTGACTTTCAAAACCAGTGAGCATGGTATCCTGCTGGGCCAGTGATGTGGAATGGGTATCAGAAGCACTATGCCACAGTGGTTCCGTTTCTATTTGGGTCATAAGCAGAGACCAGCATCGGAAGAATGTTCCACTGTTGTTATGAGGTTCCACAGAACACTATTTTATCTCCAACGTTATTTGCCATCTATATGAAGCCATTGGGATCAGTCATTAGGCAATTTGAGGCAAGGTGTCATTACCATGCTGATAACCAGCTATATTTTTCTATTGCATCTCAATCAGGAAAGGCAGACCTGGACCAATGCCTGGACACAGTAGTGGGCTGGATGAGGGCCAATAAATAATCTGAACAAGGGAAGAACGTAAGAAAAGCCCTGCTGCATCAGACCAATGGCCCACCTAGTCCAGCATCCTGCTCTCCCAGTGCCAACCAGATGCCTTAAGGAAGTCTGCAAGCAGCACTTGCACACAAAAACATTTTCCTCTCCTATGGTTTGCAGCAACTCCACTGACCTTGGAGGCAAAGTATAGCCATCATGGCTAGTAGCAACTGATAGCCTTAGCCTCCATGAATTTGTCTAATTATCTTTTAAAGGCATCCAAGATGGTGGCCATAACTGCCCCTTGTTAGAATGAATTCCATATTTAACTATGCACTGTTTGGAGAAATACATTGTTTTGCCTGTCCTGAATAGTCCGACATTCAGCTTCATTGCATAATGTATGTTTCTTTTTTCTACAAGCTGTTTTGAGATACATAGTGCAAAGTGGGGCAAAATTCTTTAAATAAACAAATAAGATACTGACAGAACTATATCGGTCTAAAAGACAGATCACTTGGGTACCCAAATGCACTCAAAGACCTAATGCTGGACAGAGTTAGAGGAACCACTTAAAAGATTTAAAAAGTGAAGGACTGAAAACATTTTCCAAGAGCTGCCAGGAAGATAGCTGAGAGCGAGTGATCAATCAGTTGTCCCCATTCCCCATTACCATTTGCTTTGTTGATCTTATAAATGAATTGCCATTACCCCAGTTAGATGACCATGTTAAGGTTTTGCTCTCATTTTTACTAAAAACTACAATCAATCTTATTTAAACCACAAAAATGGTTTCTTACTGCTTCACCAACTAAACTCATTTATCAAGTTTGAATGAGAAATTAGTTTGCTAGGATTAAAGCACAGAAGCAACATCCAGGGGCCTGGATAATTTCCCCTATGTTCTTTTACTACACTGAGCATTCTCCAGAGGATATTAGGGAGCCAGAAGTGCAAAACAGAGGAATGGAAGGATCAGGGTAAAAAATTCTCAAACGACTTGGCACCAGTGGGCAGCATTTCAAGGCTGATACAAAATATATACAGTAATTGCATACCAACCCATATCCCAACAGCATCAAGAAATGAATTGGAAAAGAAATCAAAGCATGAGACAGAGAATGCTACAGGCAGGCTTCAAGGTTCTGAAATAATCTCTTTTACAAAGCCTCAGAAGCAATTCAGTCACTGGTACTGCAAGGATTTATGCTTCCCATCCAACAGAACTTACACTTTTATAATGCCTTTCCTTCCACAGATCTTAAGCAATTTATAAGATTATGTCTCAACATGAAAGCAATCCAGTCTCAACCCAGGGTAAAAGGGCACTGGAAGAGAGTATCCCTGTCCAATGTTGAAAGGCAATACTTTTACAATGGAACAGTAAAGTACATAAAATAACTGCATCAAATTAAAGCAGCAGGCACATTCATCAGAAGCCCACAAAATTTAGGTTGGCCTTGGTAGATAACCATTAGTTGTGTCACCAGCAATCCCTCTGCAACAGAGGAGACTGGGTCAGTTTTTTTACTCCTCATCAAGTTTTAGAGAGCATCTCACTTCTTCTGTCCATCCCCAAAGCAGGCTGCAACAAATATGCAAGATTGACCCCTCCTTATGCAATTTCCTGGGTGTCAGATTTCAAAGGAAGGATACAGTCTGTTTCTCCCAATTACAGTACAGGTAAAGGTACCCCTGACCATTAGGTCCAGTAGCGGATGACTCTGGGCTTGAGTGCTCATCTCGCTCTATAGGCCGAGGAAGTCAGCGTTTGTCTGCAGACAGCTTCTGGGTCATGTGGCCAGCATGACTAAACCGCTTCTGGAGAACCAGAGCAGCACATGGAAATGCCATTTACCTTCCCACCGGAGTGGTACCTATTTATCTACTTGCACTTGATGTGCTTTTGAACTGCTAGGTGGGCAGGAGCTGGGACCGAACAACAGGAGCTCACCCCGTCGTGGGGATTCGAACTGCCGACCTTCCAATCGGCAAGCCCTAGGCTCTGTGGTCCCAATTGCAGTAAGTGCACCCCTTTTCCAGTGGAAACACAAGGGGAGGGAAATAGTCTCTCAAATCTTGGACATACAGAAGGAGGTCACCCAAGAGAGACTTGTGGTCCCTACAGATCAGCTGACTTTTGTGGATCCCTGACATTCAGGATAGTAGATTATCAATTAAGATGACACACACACACACACACTTTTTATTTTATTTTTAAAGTTAAAGCAAGGTTTTACATTTAATCAGAAAAATGACACCTTAGTATTGTGGAGCATATGCTACACACTATCAGCTAATAATCAGCTTTATATATTGGTTCTCAGAAGCTAAAGGGAAAGGACATAGCAAACAAGTTTTCCGCACACCAGGGTAGCTGCTCCTGCCCAGGAGCCTGAATTTAATAACCTAAACCAATCAAACAAACAAACAAACAAACAAAAAACCAAGGAAAGCTTAGCTAGACACAATTCAGCTCACCCAATAGTGGTAAGGAGGCAGAAATACCCTCACCACCACCTCAAAAGTCTGCAACTGGCCTCTATATTGTGCTTGGTCAGATTCACAAATCTTTTTTCCAATTGTGCTCAAGATACCTAGCAACCCATTTCAGATCATCCAGCTACTGAATAAATCATGCTCCTATGAAGCCTGGGAGGAAGATGCCAAGGAGCAAGCCTGGCAGTAGTCCCTGTTAACCTCCTATTCTACAACCAAAGTTGTTTTGATGAGGTTTGACTTTTGCAATGTTAAAGTTTCATCAGCTTTTCACTACTATTAACAAACATAATTCCTCTAAGGAGCAAAAGACAATCCTAATCCATGAGAGATAACAACATCAAGTGTGAGGAAACGTAAAAGAGCAAAGTCCTTTTGACTTGGCCACAGACAGAAAACTCAGAAATGGGATAGAAGGAAGAGAGAACTCTCTTTCCTACCATCTTAAGATGGGCAGGTATCCAGTAATTTAGGGTATCCATGAGACAGATGCTAGGCCTCATTGGATAAAATTCAGACTGTACCCAGATTGCTATTCTACACATGGCAGGAAGCTAGAGCAAGTTCTGCTCCCTGTCCATCCAAGCATCACCTGTCTTGCCTCTGATGCTATTGTACATAACGTTCAAACAGGGTGTTCACATTTAACGTGCAACATGTGTGGGCTCAGAATGTGCAATAAATGTCCAATCTCTGACCACAGAACTCGAGCAAATGCACCCCATATTAGAACACCTATGTATGGATGTAAGGTGGCAATGGAGGCAAGGGCTGATGTGCCAAATGGGCAGGGAGGAAAGTGCATTCTTACTCTTCAGCACATGTGGGGGAAGGAACTAGGTAAGAATACTGTCTGATCTGCCTTCTGTAAAACACTCCCTCAAGGCCAAGGCACAACTTTCTTATTGAAATCACAATGGCTGGGTGACAAATGGATTGTATTACTTAGATACAAGTGACACGTTTGGGATTTACAAGTTCCCAGTAGATTGTTAATGGAAATTGACATTCAGAAAACCCTTACCTCATGAATCCCAAGAACATTATTAGGATGAGGCTGACAAGCCAACCAGCAGTGGCAAAGGCCTTTGGCATAGTCAGAGCTCCAGTCCCAACTATGAGATTGAACATGTAAACCAGGCCAACCTGCAATTAAAGAAATCATAAATGTTTAAATCATGTGACTTTTAGTTGTTAAAAAAGACTCTTTGGCTAGCAATCCCAAAATGGACAGAAAGCAGCAGCCTCCATAGACAATCCAAACCAACACGGCTACTATGATGGTGCAGTTTTATAGAAAATATTATCGTCTCAGTAAAGAAATGCTTTTTAGCTCATACTTACACAGTTAGGCAGTGTTTAATGTTTGGCCTTAGAAATATTAACAGCTGGGTTTAAAAAACAAACAAAAAAAACACCTATGCAAACCACAACTTTCCAATAGCCCAATAGTTTATTTCTTGTTTTCCCAACCTAAGCCTTCAGGATGAGGGAGATTACAGATAAAATCTCCTTCTCCACATAGCAAGAGTTAAGCAGAAAGACCAGACATACTGGTGAAAGGACATAGCCTCAAAACATCATGTTTACTCAAGTTATGCAGTTCTCTCACTTGCCATGTTTCTAACTCCAAAGGAAAGATTCTCTGAAACTAAAGGTGTTGCAGAGAGGCTGAGGTTTTTTTATAGGGGGAAGGGTGGTACAGTTACTCAACTTCACCCATGAGGAGCCAATATAGGATGTGAGGTATAAAAGAGCATTCCACAGCTTGCCAACTATTAGCCAAACAGGAGTCTGACAAGTAATTTTCCTCCCAAGTATATTTAGTAGTGAAGCAGATGAAAATTTTCCCTTATTGGGACACCAGAGGAATCTTGTTAAGGAATGGGAATATCTGCATGTCAAGCTTGTTGACAGTCAAATCAACCCTTAAGAAGAGCTATTCTGAATTATTTCCTGCCTCAGTTCTTACATTTAAATGGCAGGCTAAGACTAGGCATTATTCTTGTTTATTGAAGAATATTACATTAATAATAACAGCAAAAGAGATTTGCTCTTTTGTTTAGTAAAAACCTACTTGCCTCCCCACAGCACAAAGTGCTAAAATGGAACTACCTCAAGGGGTTCAGCTTCCACAATTTCTATTTTTAATCTGCTTTATCCTGTAGGTTCAACACTGGCTCTATCTGCAGCAAAAACAAGATTCATTACTATTTGGGGGGGCAGTGCCCTCATAACTAAAACAGTTCTGTATTAAAACGTAGCATGAAGAACTCATGTATGAGTAGATTTGGTAAGTCAGAACCACAATGGGTAATTAAGGTGGCAGCTCAGTGACAGATGACAATATCTGAATGTAAAAGTCTCCAGATTCAAACCCTAGCATCTCCAAGTAGAGCTGGGAAAGATTTCTTCTTGAAACCCTGGAGAGCAACTACTACCCAATTCAGACAACACCGAAGCAGATGAACTAATGGTGATACAGCTGCTTCCTATGAGCCCTGGGCACTAGCAGGAAAATAATTTAAACTTATTAAAATCATGTGTCATGTAAGTTACAGTATCCATTAGACTTGAAGTGCAAGAAAGTAGTGCAGGGAGGATGAGAGAAAGAGCACCACTGATGGCTACCTTCCCCTTATTAAAATTACTGGAATGCCCATTATCAGAAGACAACCATCTACCTGGAATTCATGTCCACTGTCAAACACACAATTTTTAAACCAAGAGTAACCATAAATAAAATTACCTTAAGAACAGGGAATGTATACAGTTTATAAACCAAATGCTCATGGCAGAAGTTCTGAACTACAAATGCATCCTTCAGAGACCTTTTATGCATAGCCATTCACTTCTCTTTGAGAGAACAAGGTCCTCCTGTACTTACTGGCATCTGAACAGCAAATGCATCTTTTGACTGCTTTCCCAGAGGATGAAACAGTAGATGTCAGTTTGCAAAGCGATTTTTTTAACTCGTTGGGCAGAACTGTCATTCCCTGCATACACCACCTCCTGGCTCTAGTCCTTAATTGGTTCTGCACACGAAGCCTTTAAGGACAGAAACCTTGGAGGTTTTCTTTGACTCTGATTAAAAAGAACAATATAGGGAGGGAAGATTTATTTCAGATACTGGCAGAATCATATTTCGGGCCCTCCAAAAATGAGACAAGTACCATTTTTATGCTCAACAGCCAGAAGATTTCTGCAATGCTATAATTTTCAATCTGTAAGGTACTTGGTAATTTAACATCTTGGGAGTCTATTTTCCCCCTTGAAGATTCAGATCAATCTTCCTTGGACTAAATGTACCAGCACGCATCACTATCCGATTAATGTCTTCTCAAAAATCACTTGCAATCAGAAAACCACCACTCATGAGGATAGCTTTGACAGAGAGATGTGATGGGTTATATATTAGGAAGGAGGACAGAGTCCACTGGTATGCCATAAAAGGGCATCATAAGATGCAGCTTCAACAACTCTCAACTCTTGTGTATGTATGTGCACTGCTTTCAAAGCCTCCTTGTTCATCTCAATTTTTATATAAAAAAAATACTTTCCTGATGTTTTAACCACTTGTTGCTGCAAGATGGCAGCAACAAGAATTCCAACTATGGAAACAGAACAGAACCCATTGGCGCAAATACAGCCTATCAGCCATTTAAGAAAGCCACACAAATTTTAAAAAGCTTTGTCCCCTGTGTTGCAGAATGCCTCTGCACTGACTGATGTAAACATGCACCCAGGAATCTTGTGCACATTGTTAGTGCACATGTCTTTTTATTGTTCCATGAAGCAGTCTAGACTGTAAGAGAATGTGTCACTGCCCTAAAGACTTCACAACCAGAAAAGTATAATCATGTATTTAGTATTTAGCGCACTGCTCTTCCCTGAAGAGCCTTTTACATATGGCTTCCAGATAGCCTTCCATTCAGTGAAATTACAGGATAACACCTGTTCAGCTTCACAGAAGAACAGCCTGGTGTAACTTTGCACAACTACATCACTAAATGGCACAAGTTTGAAAACTGCTTTGAAGGTGCCAAGTTGTAACCAATGCTGTCCTTCTTTACATGGAAGGTTCTTTGTTCCCATACAGGCATCTGCAGACAAAAAAGGGAGGTGATTTTTGCAAATTTCTCCTTTCTTCACCATACTGTGTCAGAGGATTCTCCAATTCCCTAGAAAAGATGGGGAGGGGGCCCTCCCGCTCTTCTTCCCCCAACCTTATACTGTATACAACACTAATGTCTCATGTCAAATAAAACTGATCTGTAGAAAGGACTTTAGAAGTTGAAAAAAGAAACAATGTGCGTACTTTTATAAACCAAGAAATTCTTTAATAAAAAAATATTTTTTGAAAAATAGATGGGGAGGGTATGAAGGTGATAGTAGCACAAAAGTGGAACTAATGAAAATCACCTCCAACTGTTCATGGAATCCTCTGCTGGATCAAAGAGACTTCCATGACTGGAAGGACAGCATGGGATAAAATTCGCCACATCTAATTTCTGGCTAGTCTATCCACTACCCAAATTACTTAGTTCCTCTTGCCTCTCATATTTGGGATTCTTTTCCCTCTTGTTAGTATTTTATCTATCATAATCTAACATATGGGTGTCCATCAATATGCAGATAATACCCAGCTCTACCTCTCTTTCAAATCAGAACCGGTGAAGGCGGTGAAGGTCCTGTGTGAGTGCCTGGAGGCGGTTGGAGGATGGATGGCGGCTAATGGATTAAAGTTGAATCCTGACAAGACAGAAGTACTGTTTTGGGGGGACAGGAGGCGGGCAGGTGTGGAGGACTCCCTGGTCCTGAATAGGGTAACTGTGCCCCTGAAGGACCAGGTGCGCAGCCTGGGAGTCATTTTGGACTCACAGTTGTCCATGGAGGCGCAGGTCAATTCTGTATCCAGGGCAGCTGTCTACCAACTCCACCTGGTACGCAGGCTGAGACCCTACCTGCCCACGGACTGTCTCGCCAGAGTGGTGCATGCTCTAGTTATCTCCCGCTTGGACTACTGCAATGCACTCTACGTGGGGCTACCTCAGCCCAGTATACCTGAAGGAGCGTCTCCACCCCCACCGTTCTGCCCGGACGCTGAGGTCCAGCGCCGAGGGCCTTCTGGCGGTTCCCTCATTGCGAGAAGCAAAGCTACAGGGAGCCAGGCAGAGGGCCTTCTCAGTAGTGGCACCCGCCCTGTGGAACGCCCTCCCATCAGATGTCAAAGTGATAAACAGCTACCTGACATTCAGAAGACATCTTAAGGCAGCCCTGCTAAGGGAAGTTTTTAATGTGTGATATTTTAGTGTTTTTTGGTTTCTATGGAAGCTGCCCAGAGTGGCTGGGGAAACCCAGTTAGATTGGCGGGGTACAAATAATAAATTATTATTATTATTATTATTATTATTATTATTATTATTAGGAAGCAACCTTATTTGCTGATGCAGCTTTAGTGCAATTACATACTTTGAATATTCACTAGAGACTCAATAGAGGGTATTTGGCAAGGTTTGCTAAGCATTAAAGCATGTTTAAAAACGCAAGTCTTTTAGAGCATGTGTGGGTGAAAAGAGCAAGCAAGTCCTTGTATTAGAAAAGTTTCCTGAGTTATTTCCAAATGTATTGTAACACAAGTATAAAATGCCTATCACAATTTAAAATCAAAACAAGAACGTGGGGGGGGGGGGAACCATGAAGAAACAGGAGCAGGAAATACAGAGCATAACTGTGCTGCTTGTCTCCAGCAAGAGACTGTAGTAATGTTAAATACTCACGTAAGGCGAGTACAGCTCTCCTGTATCAGTAATACCTCCAGCCATGTTGAAGCTGATGGAACAGTCCGAGAGAGATGTCAGTTCCTTTTGATCCAACCACTGTTAACCTGAAAGAAATTTTATCAGCTGTTTACAGGAGTCAACAAAGCAAGCGGTAACTGCAGTTCATCACTGTGCATTAATACAAGCCTAGTAGTATTGCTGCCTACCTTCTCTGGAAAGAAAAGTAAACAGATTCCCCCAAATCAGCTAGTTTGAATTTGAAATCAGAATTCTTCACTTGCATTGCAAATTGCATAATTCTCACTAAAGGCCATAATCCTTTTAGAGAATCTAGTGAAATACCAGCCACATCAAAAACAAGGATCAAAACTAAGGTTCTCCTGTCACTCTAAAATTATATAATCTAGCCAGATGATATAGTAACACACTTTAAGGAATTCCATTTAGAATGAATGGATTATAATCACTAAGGGGAAAATAGATTTAAGATCTTTTATTTAAATTAAGTCACTTACTTTACAATTTACACATCTCCTGAAAAAGCATTCATGACAATTGGTTGCTAACAATTAAATATAATTGTTAGATGTTTTACTTGAAGGCTACAGTTACAATCATATGCATAGTTACTGTATTTTTCACTCTATAAGACGCACCAGACCACAAGACGCATCTAGTTTTTGGAGGAGGAAAACAAGAAAAAAAATATTCTGAATCTCAGAAGCCAGAACAGCAAGAGGGATCGCTGTGCAGTGAAAGCAGCAATCCCTCTTGCTGTTCTGGCTTCTGTGATAGCTGCGCAGCCTGCATTCGCTCCATAAGACGCACACACATTTCCCCTTACTTTTTAGGAGGGAAAAAGTGAGTCTTATAGAGGAAAAAATACGGTATTTGAAAGTGCAACTGAACCAAGTGGGACTTAGTTGAAAGGAAGCCTGCTAAGTCTGGTGCCTTCCATAAATTTTGTACTGGGAGTTATAGCCTAAATATTTGGACAGCACCAGATTGGTGAAAGCTGTGTTATAGGGGTTCAGAACTTTCTGGCAGCCTTATCCTCCATGAATTTGTTTAACCTTTTTTAAAGCCACTGAAGTTGGGGGCCATCAGTGCCTTCTGTGGGAGTGAATTCTATACTATGTGCTGTGTAGAGAGTAACTTTCTTTTCTCTGTCCTGAATCCTCCAATATTCAGCTTCAGTAGATGTCCACAAATTCTAGTGTTAGAAGTATATAAAATTATGTATGACATGGAGAACTCCTATCATGTTGCCTCTTACCTTTGCTCTAAACTAAAAAGCCCTGAATGCTTCAACCTTTCCTCATACGAGAGGTGCTCCATCCCCTTCATCATTTTGGTTGCCCTTTTCTGAACCTTTTCCAACTCCACAATATTGTTTAAGTGGTGAGGCAACCCAAACTGTACATGCTATTCCAAATGCAGCTGCAACAGAACTTGAAAGCTTACTTTTTGTGGCATTTTTATTGGCCCTAATAAAATCTCCACCCAAACAGAATTATAGCATGCTACTGGAGCAAGGCTTAAATAGGCAGGAAAGCCTCACAGTCTACACAGACCTTTTACAACAATGAGGAAAACACCATCCATAACATGGTACCCCACGTGATGAGTTTCTTCATGCAAGTGTGCGTGCTGGAAAATTTCTAAATGTTTACATGGGGGGGGCATACTGAATTGCATGAGTTGGCACTAAGATTCTTATCTAACACATTAGCAATTCCACTGAACCAAAAAGAGAACCAGAGAAAGTTACAGGCAAAGTGTAAGTACCATGGAAGGCACTGCATGTGCCTGAATACAAAAAGCAAGGATTTCCAAGGCCCTGCTTTCTTACCCCTGATCATTTGCTCACAAGTCCCCTTCTTTGGCTCAGGCTGGGTTCTTTGTTGAAGAAACCACTCTGTCCTGAATTTCCTAGCTCCTACTCCTGTTTGCATCTTAGTGCATGGCATGGGAAAGTTTTACCTGGACTTTCTATGGCCACTCAGATTGGATGTATGCAATTACTACCGTGAACAGAAAATACGATAAAGAGGGCCTCTTATCAGAAGATACTCAGAATGTACTCCTAACCCTTTCAATCTCTGCTGCTGGAGGAAGAGGAGGATAAGGTAGAGGGGACCCTCCACCAGCTCCTGCCAGCCTCCGCTGCTGTACCCAGAGAAACAGAAAGCTACCAACAGTGATTCTACCACTATAAGCCATTAGAGAGATCTGAAATGAGGCATTTTGGGGCAGGGCCTGGCAGCTTGGAATCTTCTGGTTCCAAAGCCCTGCAGGTCTCAATCCTTGGGCACTCTGCTGAGTCTTCCTGGAGCTTTTATAGCCCCCCCCCCAAGCCACCCACCACTTTTGATTCTAGTCACTATAAGCAGTAAAGCTTGGGATGCAGTGGTTGAGCTGCTGTTCTGTTTCTCCCCGCAAGGGGTTAGGATTGCTCCATCAGTTATTTGAAGCACGAGACTGCAAGGCGCAGACAAAGCAAATGTTAAGGAATGATATTTGGAGTCAGTGTCATGCCAGAAAGCCTGATTCAAATATAATGACAAAGTAAAATCCACAGATGTAACTGTCCACTTAGATAGTTGGGGGGGAAATACCACTCTTGTATTTTTGCGCACTAGCCTAGAGGCCATAGGTGAGCAGGACTTCTATAAAGACATGTGAATGGGTGGGGAAGGGGAATTGATAGCCTACTTGGTTTCCATACTAACAAAAGAGGAAGTAAGAATGTTTCCTTCACAATCAGCAAAGAAATGTAGCAAGCTAGCATAGTGGAGATGAATCACTCCATCCTTTCTTCACCATTCTGCATATTATTAGTCTGCTAATAGGAGGGGCTGCCCCTCCTCCACAGCCAGCCTGGAAAAGCACATCACTAGCCTCTTAGTAGGTTAATAAGAACATCTGTAGGTTAGTAATTTTTGTGGCCTTATTTACAAGGCTGTGTTTCATCCTCAAAAAAGACTGGAAACTACCAGCTTCCGCTTTACTTCAGAGGCTTTTTACTCCACCAGTACACTATGCAGCTGCCCCTCCCCCCATAAAGTCAATTAAAAATACTTAAAGTAGAAACTGCAGGAAGATTTTGACAGATTTTTTTTCTGAGCACTTGGGGTCAAAAGAAAGCAATTTAAAGCAACGGTTGTTGGGCCATTTCATTCCAATCCGCTAGACAGAGCCAGCCAGCCAGCCAGAGGATGATGACAGGTGGGTGTCCTGCCACCCACCCCCACAACATAAATCCTGGCTACGCCCATGGAGAGAGATGCACCCACAAGCAATTGCATGAACTTTTCTCTCCCCCCATATAGGAGTCTGTGAATTCGCACACGCACACGTGCACTAGGTCTCCGAGCAGATACAGACAACCGCGTGACCACCACCTGCACCTGGTAGGCAGCAGATCTTCCTCGCTGTTTGGGAAGATGCTCACGCCGAGCGGGGGGCAATTCTATAGTCCTCTGCGCGGTCTCCTTCAGGGGGGAACAGCCCAGAGACAGGCAGAACAGTCACACACAGCCTGCGCCTACTTAAAAGCCTCCTCCGGAGAGCCGCGGGAGAAGAAGCGTCGTCGGGAATGCCACGTCTTCCCCGCCAACCCTTTCCCCGACCCGCCTCAGGCCGCCAGCCCGCTTCCCCTTCTGTCGCCACACAGGACTTCGCCCCGCCGCCACCACCCCTTCTGCCACCCACTCAAAAAAACTCCTCACAACAAGCCTCTTTACCCGCCACGCCGGCGCTCCTCGCTCGGCTCCACGGCAACGTCCGGCCCAGCAACTCCCAACCGTCGTTTTCCCTCATTACCAGCGCGAGCAAGGGGAACCCGCAGACGGCGCACGCGCACAAGCGGAGGAGCTGAGGGAGGGTAGGCGGGGCAGTGGGGAGGGAGGGAACAGCGCTTCTACGCCAAGCAAAAAGCCGCCAACAGCCGAGCTTTCCGCGCGCGTGACCACGACCTCTCGAATCGCTTTCTACGCCGATTGGTCCCGTCTCCTGATGGCACGTGACCACGGGGGCGGGGTGTGTGGCTGTATGCGTCTGTCGGTGGTTGGGAAAGACGCTGGTCGGATTGAGACTCGGCGGCTACCGTAGCGCGACCGGGAAGGAGAGTTTGGCCACTGCGCGTGCGTGTGGCTTGGGTTGGGATGGTAGAGGAGCGAGGTAAATAGGCGCTCGCGTGGCTTTGGGTGGGTTTAAAGTGGAGCTTGTCTCTCTTTCTCTGGTTCAGGTGTAGATTGCGGCTAAATGACGCCTGTTTGGAGATTAGGAGTAGTATGTGGGGGAAGATCTCTTGCGAAATTGATTGATTGTCCTGATTGATGTCTCTTCAGTGTTGCCTCTGGAGAAGTTACATGCAAAGTCTAATTCCTTTTTTTTTGTAACTCGCTTTGAGGTTTGTTTGTTTTCTTCAAGTGGTGTATAAATGTTATGGAATGAATTCCATGCAGTGCGCAAGCAAAATTGTGGAATTTATTTCCAGGGAGTGCTGTTGGTGTGGTTGCACCCGGACACTCAACCACCTCCACCTCCTCATCCTACTGTTTTAACTTCTGAATCCTGGATGTCAGTTATGAACTGCTGTAATTATCCTGTGTTTCAATCACAGTGTAGCAAATGCTTTAGAGCTGCATGACTAAGTAGTCCTTTGCAGTTGCTTCATAATTCTTGTACTACCACTGTAGTTTTTTTGTTATTAAACATTGTACCATTTCTGGTGGGGGTGGGGCAAAGAGAAATATTAAATAAGTAGGGTTTTCTTGCAGTTCATCTGCTTCAAGATACTCTCGGCAATTATTTTGGTCAAATTACAGATTATATCTCTCACAAATGAACCATGGTAAACGACATTTTATGTACACAAATATATTGCAGCTGCCCTTTAAATTGTGTATCTTACACTTTATTGTATATAATTGGACCGATTGTATATTTAAATTGATATGTATGATTCCTCTGTATAGCATTGTTATATTTTGCTCTCATTTGTTGTTGTTCATTCTTATTTCAAAACTGAACCAATAACATTTATTTTGAAAAAGTGTATCACTAACATAATCTTGTTTGTTGCAGGCTTGGAGCTATGAGAATTAACCAGAATACTGTACTGCAGGGAAAGAGGGTGACCCTGGTGCCATATACCTCTGCTCATGTACCCAAGTATGAAACAGATACTTTGCCAAATCTCCAGTTTGGGGGGGGGCATTGACTTTAGAGGTCTGGAATGTTAAGTCATCTTTACATATTTCTTTGCAAAAGATTTTTTTATATATGTGTGTTTGTAATATGTGTTTGTTAATTTGCATTCCAAGTGGAACAAACAGATAAACTGCTTGAGCCATAAGCATCGAAGTTACCTGTAACTGCTCTGATCTGCAAGTATTAATGGATCAGTTTATTGATATTAATTGGGCATATATGCAAAAGTTGTGGGGGATTTTAACTTTTCTTTTTTTAAAAATTCAAATTTTCACATATGTTCATAGGAATATTTTTGATAACACCTCCTACATTTTGAGATAAGAAAACTGCAGGTATGCCCAGGTCTGAAATATGCACAGGTGGGCAAAATCAATCATCTGTGCTTGTGGGGGGAGGGGAATGATGGTAATGGTAACCTCTTGTCAAGAAGGACACTGACAAACTGGACCGTGTCCAGAGGAGAGCAACCAAAATGGTCAAAGGCCTGGAAATGATGCCTTATGAGGAACGGCTAAGGGAGCTGGGCATGTTTAGCCTGGAGAAGAGAAGCTTAAGGGGTGATATGATAGCCATGTTCAAATATATAAAAGGATGTCATATAGAGGAGGGAGAAAGGTTGTTTTCTGCTGCTCCAGAGAAGCGGACACAGAGCAATGGATCCAAACTACAAGAAAGAAGATTCCACCTAAACATTAGGAAGAACATCCTGACAGTAAGAGCTGTTTGACAATGGAATTTGCTGCCAAGGAGTGTGGTGGAGTCTCCTTCTTTGGAGGTCTTTAAGCAGAGGCTTGACAACCATATGTCAGGAGTGCTCTGATGGTGTTTCCTGCTTGGCAGGGGGTTGGACTCGATGGCCCTTGTGGTCTCTTCCAACTCTATGATTCTACCAAGAACTTATCACTGCTGCCTGGTGCATGTTTACTGAGATGTACATTCCACTGAGTGTGGTGGAGCTTCCTCCTAAACTAGTATGCATTAGGATTACAGCCTTAATTTTTAACTCTGCAGGCATTTGGAAACCTCAGTTGTAAGCAGTAAGAACAACATATTTGGGAATTATTAGACATGTACATATTTATTGCTTACTGGTAATATATCTGTCATTACTACACGAGAGATATGTATATATGGAAGGCAGGGCCTGGGGCACCCTCTCAGAAAAGATCAGGAATAGAGGTTTTATTTTGTTCCAAATATATTGTCTCCAGGTGCAGCAACCCATTCAATGGCATCCTAAGCACAAGTGGAATGAGAGTTAAACCTTGGTGAACCCAGCCATTAAGAATAATTTCTTCTGTCTGTGTGGTGCCTATTTCATGTTGTGAAGAAATAAAATAGAATGTTGGTGTAAGTTTGCCTGGACCAGTCATTTCATGCCCCATGGTGGAGATCTTGTTTACCTTTCCAACAGAACATAGTAGGCAATGTTCTGAAGAGGAATATATTCCCTCTCTGGATTTTCTCACCAGGTACCATGAGTGGATGAAGTCTGAAGAGCTGCAGCGTCTGACTGCATCAGAGCCATTAAGCCTTGAACAGGAATATGAGATGCAGCGCAGTTGGCGGGAAGATGCAGACAGTGAGATTTTAAAATATTTGTCAGGATTTGAAGATGAGGGTAGCGAGCACGTATGTTGTCTAGTTTATTTAAAGGTCCATTCATATAAAAGTGATTCTTCCATGTTAAAATTTCAGCTGCTGATCAGTTTAACATGGTAATAACTAATACTGATAATTTGGACTGTGTAGAAATAGATGGCAACTTTATTCTGAGCAAAATTAAATCTTGGAAGGTACTCAGGGCCAAAACCGCAGAATACACAAGTACCCAAGAATCGCATATCAGCTACCTAAACATGGTATCTATAGTTATCCACACTTAGATAACTTTCCATGCAATGTCCTCTGGATGCTGTGGAAGTTCTTCTCTTTAGCCCAATACCTGTGGTTAGGTACACAGGAACTGAACTATAACATCCTTCTTACTTACGGCTACCACATAAAAATTCAGATGGGCCTTTTTTTCCCCTGCGAAGGGGAGCAGGCACATTTCTTTCCTAACTCCTGCACACTGATTTTAATATTTTTAAAAAGTGAATAGGCCCATCAAACACTTGCCCATTTGGTTTGGCCTAAATTGACATTAGGTGAGATTAAATTCTTCCCAGAGTTCTGTATTTTCCTAAGGGTTTGAGGGACAGAGAAAGAGTTGCATTGGCTTTTGCACCCAGCCTGAAGCAAGAGATCTCTCATTCCAAGTCAAGGAGGAAGCTTCTTACATTGTGCTGGTTGCCATTAATTACTATATTAGTTGACCCTGGTTTCATTTAAAATGGTTTTAAATGTTCTCCATTGGGCCTGCTTCTTTTTTAAAAAATTCCCCAGAATGCACATTCATAGTGCTTGACACAGATAAGTGGTCTAAGCAGACAACCACGGAGGAAGACTGCATGGTGGGCGATGTGAACTTGTTCCTCACAGACAGTGAAGATCCAACACTTGGAGAGATCGAAATCATGATTGCAGGTAACCTAACGCTTCTATAATTTATGGGCCCATCAATATTTCAGCCTTTAGCAAGTTACTTCAAAAGATTGTCTCTTCAGCAGAAGTGACCGAAGCCAACAAAAAATAAAATAGGTTATAAACAAGCATCCTGTGCACAAATGTCTGACACAACTATTGCAACCTGACCTAGCGTCATTCCTTGGTAGGTCAGTGCAAGCTGCCAGGGTTGTATTTTGTCAGTCCTGAATTTTTCAGAAATGAAGCCTAAATCTTACTAAATGTGCAAGAAAGGAGCCTCTTCTTCTTTTTTCTTCACCTATCCCTGTATCCCTTTAGTCTGATTGATCTTTCTGTAAAAAAATAATGTTGCATATCTTGTACCTTCTTGTCTTAAAAAAAGTGCCTAGAATTAGGAAGACTCTAGGGTGCGTGAGAGATACCCATTCCAAATTCTAGACCCTCCTGTTGGCCAAAGGTTCCCCACCTTTGTTCTAGATGAACCTGGAAACAGATACAGTTCTTAATTCTCCCCTGCTCCTCTCTTTCAGAGGCCAGCTATCGTGGCAGAGGATTTGGCAAGGAAGCCACTCTGATCATGATGTCCTATGGTAAGAGTGTCTGGCATGAAGTAGGAAATTGTTGGAGGGTGCTGCATATGCATGGAGGATTAATTTCTGTGTACATCAATAGCGGTAGAAGATTTCCATTCCAAGACTTTGAAATTCTGCCATAGAGTCTTAAGATACCTTGCTAATGAGTTTACTTTTCTGCTTATACTTGGAACACAGAGCCTTCAATCACCTATAATCATAGAAACATAGGAAGCTGCCTTATACCGAGTAAGCTCATCACTTCGTCTCACTTAGTATTATCAACACTTGCTAACAGTGGCTCTCAAGGGTTTCAGACATTTCCAACCTTACCTGGAGATGCCAGGGAGAGAAAATGGGACATACTGCATGCAGAACATGTGATCAAACTTCCCAAATGAAATTGACAAGAGACAGTAGCTTATCTCTAATCTTCTATCCTGTAGGAATGACTCGCCTGGGACTAAACACCTTTGAAGCTAAAATTGGATTGGAAAATGAAGCCAGTATTGGCATGTTCAAAAAGATTCATTTCAAGGAGGTGTGCTAATAAGTATTCCTCATGTAGCAGAACCATCTTTAGTTGACTCTGTATTTGTGGCAGACCCGAAAGTTAACTTGGATTATTATCTTGTGCACTGTCTAGGTGGGAGTCAATGTCATCTTCCACGAAGTAACACTCAGACTGATTGTGGATGAGCAAGAAAGGCAGTGGCTGCTTGAGCAAACCAGCCATGTGGATGAACAATTTTACAATGTAACGAAGCTACAGAATCAAGTTTGTGACAGCTAATGAGGCTTATACGGACTCCAGAAGCATGGGATCTCTGCCTCCAAACTGCATCATGGCCTGGATCTATGGTGTTAGGGACCAACCGCTGGAGTAGAAAATGCTGCGGGCTCTGTACTGCGTCAGCATTCAACTTGACTTGCAGTAGACATTACGAAAGTATGATGGGCAACAGCAACTAGAACAAACTATCATCTTAGGGAAATGGTTTCTGTTGGTGAAAATGGCAAAGTGTGATGTATATAGAGCGAACTGAATGTGTTTGGGCTGCAGTGCTACTAAGGGACAGGAAAGTTAGGCTTGTCTCCTCTGTTACAAACTGACAGTCTCATCATTGCCTTACCAGGGTTCTTGATTAGGGCCTGTTTCTATCAAAAACATAAACTACAACCTACTCTTATTCCGAGAGTTAATCGGCAGCAGTCCTAGAAATAGGTGGTTAATGTTTGGTTGAACTGAAGTACTCAATGGGCTTCTCTCAAAGCATTGCAGGCTCCCATACAGCCTCTCAGTTATTCATTGTGACAGCTCTTTTCTCACTGGCACACACCAGGAAGTTTGTATGTTTCTCTTTACTAAGATGAAATGTGAAAACGTAAAACGTGTACACTCTTTTCTCTCACTGCCAGTTTCTTTTCTGGGGTCAGGTTTTGCTGTGTGTCCCCTCCCCCCCCCCCATTTGCAGAAATATAACAGATGTAAACCTACGATGAAGGGTTCATTACTGGTGATGCCATTATTTCCTGTATGTGAAACTAGTTACAGGAACTTGATGAAAAATGCTGATTGCATTGTACTGTTACAAATGCCCCATCTGCACAAGCATATCCCCTTCCACTATGCTGTTCTGGAAGTCCTCGCACCCAAACCCCAAGCCAATTTCAAGGAGAGAAGGTGGGGAGGCCCCTTTGTGCAAGGCTTCTGCTGGCTCCTGCCCTCAGAGGCTAATGAAGGACTTGGTAGTAAGCATAGTATGTTGGACATATGTATTGTTTTAATACAGACATGACAAGTTTTCAAAGGCTGTGACTACAGATGTATTTTTGCAGCACTTCAAGAATGTAATGCTTAATGTAGCTAGCTAGAAGTTCTGCTCCCTTAGACTGTCCCATAGAATACTGACACACACACACACATCCTCTAACCAGACAAGCAAGAGGCATGAAAGAACGCATTTCAGTCAGGCAGAAATACGCAGGAGTGCAGCAGGGCCAGGGAGGGTGGAGAGTTGGTAAGGAAGATGTGGCTTGGAGAGAGTTTGAAAAGCCTGATAAAGAGGCCTGGAGGCTGCATTTGGGCCCTTGTCCTGAGGTTGCCCATGCCTGTCCTAAAGCCTTCCTTGTAGGTAATTCATTCCAGACAGTAGTACAAAAATACAGTAGGATTGCGCAAAGCTACTGTGCTAGATTGTAAATAATGTAATACACTACAAAGTACTTTACATGCACCACTATAATTCTACCTGTGCAGAAAACTTAAGGCATTCTAGGCAGAGTTCACCCAATTTGTAGTACCCTGAAAGATAACAAAAGGCAAGGAGGTTAATCTGGACCCTACTTCTCCAGTGAGTTGCATTATGTGAGTGAAGCACGAGGAGGGAAAACAACCTGGTACCAGCTCTTGTGCTCGGTTAAACCCACACAGAGGTTGTTTACATGTCACCTGTTCCTTCGGTCTGCCACGCTCTCCTCTTTAAAGGGATCTGTCTCTGAAGCATGTCGCAACACGGATATCCCTGCCCTTCCTCACTCCTGGGTCTCTTTTTGAACAAATGGGCCGGCCAGGGAAGAGTGCTTCGGAAGATGTGGCCTGAAGCTGGAGGGTTGCCCACCAGAACCTTGTATCCTGTTGAGCTTTGCTGCGATACGGTATCCGCTGGGTGCTGCTTGCCCCCTTCAGTGGCACTGCAGCTGGAAATCCTGACATGGTGAGCTCTGAGCCTGGCTAAGGCAGACTCTGAGAAGGTGCTGTAAGTTCTCGGCAGCCCTAAGCTGGTTCTTGAGGCGAGTGTTGCTACCTTTTCCATGGGATGGCTTTTCTGCCCCTTCTTCTTCTTGCAGATTCTCCTCTGAGTCTCCTCTAAGCTGGTCTCAAGATGGCACACATCCTCCATCAGCTTTAGGACCCTGTCAAAGCCGTCCAGGAGATCATTGACTGCGGATGGCAGGTGCTCCAGGTTAAAGTCTACACTGCAAGGATCAGGGATGGGGCTCTCAGGAAGCACCAGCTCTTCAGAGCTGAAGGAAGAAATGGCTGCAGTAGCACAGTGAAAGTTGGTGCCCGGAGAAGGGAGGCGAGACGGTTTGGAGTTTCCAGAAGAGTGGGAAATCAGGGAGTCCATCCCTTCAAATTTCACCTTGTGGCGAAACTGAAAGGCAAAGAGGTCAAAATCTGTTGCAAACTCTCTTTCCTGTTGTCTGGGAAAACTAATTCAGCCATCATGGGGACAAGCTAGGCTGCCATTCTTTACATAGATTGTGCTGTGAGATATAGAGAAAGGTCTCAAAACTGATTCTGAAATCAAGCTTACAGCATTATCATACTCAAGTCTATTTAGAGGAGAACAGCTCATACAAAAGAGACGTTCAGATGGCCATCACATTTATGTAAACAGCTGGGAAGCTGCTATGCATTAATAGCTTAACCCTGTGAAACTGCCTTCATGTGGCTTGTATTGAAAGTTACCACCACATCGTAAGTGGTGATAGAGCAAACAGCACCATAGAGCAGCCACATTCTCACTTACCATCTCTTCCCCTGTACGGAAGAGTGCTGTATTCCCCATTTCCCTTTTTCTTTCTTTCTTTTCTCCCCACCCTCCACCTCTACTGCTTTGGGTGTTTTATCTCGCTTACCTCTTTGGTTTTGCTGAGTCCTAGCCACAGCTTCAACCTTTTCACCAAAAACTCAATCATCTCGTAATCCTGAGGCTCAATAGCTGGATGGTAGATCTCGGAATGGACAGTACGGTAACTGTTAAGGACAGAGGCACAAAGGAAGCTCTGCACCATCCAGAGCACGCCAGCTCCAAAGCTTAGGATGTATGTTGTCCCCAGGATAGGGGAAACCTGCATCAAAGACTGGAGGAAAGTGATCTTCCCACAGAGAGTGGAAAGCAGAGCTGAAAAGGCACACGGGAGTGTCCTGAACTCTTCCACAGTTGAAGAGAAGGCCTGAACAATGAAGAAGAAAAGAAAAAGGTTGTGGAGATTTTATTTATATATATATATATATATAATATCTATATCTCTATATCTATAAAATAGGTAGGATCAGTGTTTCCCCTCCTCCTCCTCCTGTCTTGGGGTGGGCAGGAGAAACCTTAGAATAGCATGCATCATTTCCCCATGCACTGACTTCTCATTCTCATTCTCCCTCACCCCATTCTTTTTATAACCTACTAAACAGCCACACTTGGCCCAGATGAGAAGGAAGAAGAGGAAGATGAGTTTGATAGCCACTAGCTCCCTCAAGGCATGCTGGAAGGTTTTCCCAAACACAGACCATCTCCGGACAAAGCGCAGCTGTTGCACCATCTAGAAAGAAAAAGAAGAAGAAGAAGCTAGTTCAGAGACTTGCCTCTTTGAAGGGAAGAAGCCATTGAGAACACTTTCTCTGTCCCCTTATCACAGGAAGAGAGCCAAGGAATATTATCGCAAGGCTACATCAAGATAACAAACAGCAGCCATCATCACAACCATAAGCATCTGTCAAGGGAAGCAGCTCTAATGCTTGGTGTCACAGTCCAATAAATGAGAACCTCAAAGGGAAGGTTCTCAAAACTAGAGAAGTCGTTTTAGCTAATAAGGCCTGGCTGTTGGTTTGGAATATAAACGTTGAGTGTCACATCAGTGATAGGAGTGAAAATATTGTGGGTACAGCCACCTGAGTTTCTTGTATATGTGAAGGACCTAAGGAAGTTGGCTGCTTCAGTTTAAGGACATAAAGGCTTCTTTGGGACAAACAGCAATACTGTTTGTTGGAAATTCCCACCCACGAAAATTCTCAGCTCCCCTACTGTCTTTCCTGCTGACTTCACAGCCGAAGCTTTGGGCAGCCTTTATTTATCTGCTCTGTGTGTTCCTTCATTGTTCATTAAGGAAACAAGAGGCAGCAACAAAGCTCTAATTCGAATACATCCAAGCTTGGATGGAGTAGATGGGTCTCCCTGTGCAGATTCATTAGGCAGCACATGGAAAGGAATGGCACCAAGATTATCCCTCGGTAGCAGCTTCAATGACAATTATAAGGTCATTACAGCATCATTTAAGAGGCACGTTAACAAGAACCTATGCATCATTGTGATTGTTAATAGATCTGGCTCGGTGCTTTCCAAAACACATTTTGCTATGCACGAAGGGGACCATTTTAATAAATCTTCTCTTTTATAAGAGATGGAAGATGTATTCTGAAATTGTTAACCAAGTGGTTGTGGCCAAGAGGAGAGAAGGATGTGTCACAGTGAAGGGAAAATACATGGTCATGCTTGCTCAGGTGTCAAAATTCAAACAAAGGCTGCAATCAGTGGCACTGTTTGTGGGTGGCCTCTGGGGCCCAATTCTCAGCTCTCTGCAGTGAGCTTTATATCTCCTTTTCCCTTTCCCTGTTTTATTTATTTATTAATTAACAATATTTTTACTTTGCTTGCAGGGAGGCATCCATGCCTATAAATTGTTATGTGCTAATTTGTGTTGATCTGTATCTGAAATCTTTTAAGTACCTCGCAATGTTCCTGGCTACCATCCTGGAAATAGTTATTTCCAGGATTTCCTGCTGACTTAAAAAGGGACAACATTAGGCTCTACATTTTTCAGGACTGCAGCCAGAGTTGCCAACCAGTCTGTCTGGTTTGGGGGAGAAAATTAACCATTTCGTCTATCTATATAAAGCCAACTCCCATCTTTCCATTTCGCATTATGAGGAAACAGAACCCAAAGTGGAGCTATGTAGTGAACGAGCAGATTCAATTCTCAATAAACAAGGACAGCTTAATCCCCATATTAAAACCAGTTTGGGGGGGGGTCCCTCCCACATATTTAGAAATAAAGAAATTGGTTGTATTTAGTTTTGCAGTAGCAGGTCTGATAGAACAGTGTGTTGTTGCCTTAGATTGCTATTAACAGTTTGTGTCTATGCACACTGTCTCTAAACTCTGGGAGAAATAAAGAGGACAGTCACGTCATACACATCATCTTTTTCACCAGCTTCACCAAATTCTGGTTCATTTCCAGGCTATGTTCAAAGTGCTGGTCATTAACCTTTGACTTTTGGTTAATGGGAACACATAACTGGGTCTCTCTATTGTCACATCTCGGCCATGGAACAGCCTGCTCTAGAATATTGATTGGCTTCCTCCCAAATAGCATTTCATTCCAAACTAAACTAACTTTGGCTGGCTGGCTGTTTTATGGTGTTTTCTGCCTGACTTCCGCCTAAATTTTTTTTTATTGCTATTATTATCATTTATTAAAGATAATAATAATATAAGATACATAAAACAAGCATAAAATCTACAGGCAACCCCCATTTGTGTGGGGATTGTGTTCCAAGTCATCGTGTGCAATGGAGGAATGCATACAAGCCAATCCCAGCTTCTGTTTGGATCCCAGAATGTCCTGTTATTGGCCTGCCCTTCTGGTGCAAGTTCAGAGTGCCGGACCAAAAGATGCTAGCTCTGGTACAAGTCAGCTCTGGCACGACCCTGCTGACAAGCACCAGAGCCCCTCCTGACATCCTGATTTGGGGGGGGAAAAATGTTGGAGGGTATGCATTCATGTGTGTGCCGGATGGAGATGGCCTTGGGAAGATTTCTGTTCCCCCTCTGCTCTTCCTCACCTTCAGCATGGTGATCGTCAGCAGCAGGGCGCAGAGAATGGCTTCTATGCGAGCCAGCACTGCCACTTCGTAAAAGCTGGTGAAAGCCTGACGGTGCTTCTGGGAATGCAGCAAGCATGCCTTTGCTAAATGGTTGTTGGTGAAGTGCAAGGCAGCAACAGTGATGGAAATCAGGGCCAGGAGCAGCCGGAAGCGACTGTAGTTCTGCCACAGGCATGGCGCCTTTTCCGGAGGTGTGAAGGACAGCTTTGGTAGGACAAAAGCTCCACTGAAGAGAAGCAGGCATATCTGCAGCAGAGAAGGAAAAGCCACAGGTTTTTGTTTTTTTCTAAATTGTTGGATTCCTTGCCTCCAGATAAGCCAGAAGTTGCTGTCATGGCCCAAAGTGACTGGATCCAGTATAGTAATACATTGGTACCTCGGGTTACATATGCTTCAGGTTACAGACTCCGCTAACCCAGAAATAGTACCTCGGGTTAAGAACTTTGCTTCAGGATGAGAAGAGAAATCGCATGGCGGCAGCAGGAGGCCCCATTAGCTAAAGTGGTGTTTCAGGTTAAGAATAGTTTCAGGTTAAGATCAGACCTCCAGAACGAATTAAGTTCTTAACCCGAGTGTAATGGGAATTGGGGTTGCTTGTGCGTAAACTGCAAACTGCTCCAAGCTAGCCGTGTAGCTAAAACTTTCCCCGGTTGACAGCCCTTGAAACGCGACTGTCTTAGTCACTGGCAGAATCCGTCAGTGGGCGGGACCTAAATTTGCGCCAACATAGGAGTTGTTTGACTCCAAGTCTCCACCTAGATTCCCTGCGTGGAAGCCTTCTGCGCAGCGTGGGCATGCCAAGCGGAGGTCCTGTGCTCTCTCCGCTGATTTCACTGGAAGAGTCTCTGAGCCTCCCCTCCGCCTTGCTCTCGGCTTCCCCTTTCTCCCTGGTGTCCCCTGGATTTCTTTCCCCCATGGGAACCCTCTCTCTCTCCTTGCTAGTTTCCTCCCCTGCATCACTGGAGCGACTTTCCTCTCCTCTTCCCTCTGATGGCAGTTCCCTGACACCGAGGTACTTTGAATCCTAACAAGGTTAGTGCCAGGCTATCTGAGATACCACCTCCTCCCATATGAGCCTACCCATAAGATTTTTATCTTCTTCTGAGATCCTTTTTTATGCCTAAAGTGACTGAGGAATCCAATTTTTTGCCATCTTAAAGAGAAGGTTGGCGTCCGTCAGGTATGATTTGTAGGACACCTATAGAATATATTAGGTATTGTTTAGAACAGTTTCCCAAACCTGGAGCTCCAGCCGTTTTGGACTACAATTCCCACCACCCCTGACCACTGGTCCTGCTAGCTAGGGATGATGGGAGTTGTAGTCCAAAAACAGCTGGGGACCCAAGTTTGGGAAACACTAGTTTGGAAGGTATTGAAGGCCCGGTTCTATGAGTATGTGTGACATAGTAGTCAATGTGATATACTAGGATTGGGGAGATTTAAGTTCAAATCATTGCTCAGCTGTAAAGCTCACTAAGTGATCTCTCTCAACCTAACCTACCTCACAGGGTCATTGTGGGAGGAAGAAACCTAGTTGACTGCCCTGACCTCCTTGAAGGAAGGAGATAATATAAATGTAATAAATATATTTAAATAAATAAATAGCGACCCCAAGCCTACAGGAGAGGAAGATGTGATGTTTATGTACTTTTGCCACACCACACTGCCTACTGAGTTCCCTTGCGCAAAGAAGTAGCCCCAGAGTGCACTTTTCAATGCAAGATACCTACCATCATGACAAGGCGAAGGTCCACATTGTCACCTGACTTTAACATTGGGAAGGGGAATATGGACATTGAAGCAATTGCCGGCCTGTCTGATGGAAACTCAAACAGGAGCATCACAGTCACATGCAGATTGACATCAGCATTGTACTGAGTGAACTCGACAAGTAGAGCTTTAGTCCTGTCATGAAAAGGATGCAGAGGAGAGACATCTATGAATATCAAGTTGAGGAACAAGCTATAGAGAAATGGTTTTTTTGCTAACAGGTAGAGATTGGATTTTGGAATATGGCGATATAAAATTGGTTAGATTCCCCTCCCCTGAAGGATTTTGACAGACAAGGTCTGGAAACTGAGAGGGAGAGGTGCCTTTTCCCTGATCGCCACCATCCCAAAGGGAAGATGACAGTATAAACAGTAACATCAGGCATGCTACATATCACACTACTTTACGTCCACTTACTTACACGTCCACATGACACATTTGATCCAGTTTCAGACCTGGCTAAGTGTCACGGCTTTCAATTGAGTCCTGAGAACAAGCTAACAACCTCCTTCCCTTGCAAAGCAAGAGCAAAAGCCCCACAGGCAACTGATTTTGTTTCTACAGGAAGACTTGAGTTTCAAACAAAAACAAAAGTCTTGGGCAGCTTGCCTTTTGTGAACCCAGTTGCTTGCTTGTAGGTCATGCAATATCCTCTGAGCTTCTGCAGAGGTGTTCCCAAGCTCCTTTGCGCAGCCATCATTCGCATGGTAAAATCCTGCATGACCCCAGATCCAAAACCTGCCGACAGAGCCACATTGAAGGAACATGAATTTAACAGTGTCAGAATGCCTTGGGAGCAATGTAAGCCTCCTCTTTTTTCCTGTGGCATTTTCTAATTCCCTTTGGAACATCCTCAACCACATCCTTGCACTTGGAACAAACAGTCAATCCAAGCTAAAGTATAAAGGTAAAGGCACCCCTGCCCGTACGGGCCAGTCTTGACAGACTCTAGGGTTGTGCGCCCATCTCACTCAAGAGGCCGGGGGCCAGCGCTGTCCGAAGACACTTCCGGGTCACGTGGCCAGCGTGACAAGCTGCATCTGGCGAGCCAGCGCAGCACACGGAAACGCCGTTTACCTTCCCGCTAGTAAGCGGTCCCTATTTATCTACCTGCACCCGGTGGTGCTTTCGAACTGCTAGGTTGGCAGGCGCTGGGACCGAGCAACGGGAGCTCACCCCGCCGCGGGGATTCGAACCACCGACCTTTCGATCAGCAAGCCCTAGGCGCTGAGGCTTTTACCCACAGCGCCACCCGCGTCCCTAGCTAAAGTATAGTCAAACTTTAAAGCAATGATCTGACCACATGACAAAGTTAGTGTAATGGTGTGTTTTTTTAAACATACCTTTGCAAGCAAAGCTTTGGTCATAACTGATGATTAATTATTTAATTTCAATACCACTTAATATATTAAAGAATGTCTCTAAGCAGTGTACAGGAAACTGAAGCAACAACGGACAACTTGAAAGATTGTAAAAACACACAGTTACATATCAAAAATGCTACATTAATACAAAGTTGCAAATACATAAAAACCAATATCAAGTCATTTTCCTTCTGGCACCCACCCACCCTCCCTCCTCCCTCTCAGCCTCCAGGTTCTCAGTCCAACAAACTCAGCTCACCCACAAAAGTCTCACAGTGAGAAGAATTCCTGGAAACAGTGGGCATTAGCCTAGTCTCTCACTCTAGACTTGCTTTTCATGGGCAGGCCCAAGATGCATAGTACATCCTCAGGCTGTGTCCCATTCAGTTGCCCTCTCCACACCCAGGTCCAGGTCCAAGAGGTTTTGTTGTTTCCTTGGGGGTCCAAAGGATGGGAAAGGGGACCCCCTCCACCCGCAGCTCTTTCTTCACCCTCTGCCTCTCCTCCTCCTCAATCTTCTTAGATGATGACTGCCCAATCCACAGAGACATCTACATGTGACATTGGCATCCACACAACTGGTTCAAGCTGTGGCAGCCCGTCTGGGCGTCAGCACAGATAGACTGAAAGCTGCCACGTGCTGATAGGGGTTGTGAGAAAGGGTCCTCAGAAGAGAAATAAGAAGGAGCTACAAGGGAGAAATCCAGAGGTAAGCATCCCCACATCAATTCATACCTAATAGAAGTGTGCTCAGTTGCGTCAGGGCATGCGTTTTTATTTGTATCCCTAGGAGCTTCTGATCTGGACCCAGACAAGTGGCACAGAGGACAGGGGCGGCTGGCAGTACTGAAGTGGTATATCTGAGATGCAATTCCAGGCCGGGGAAGTCCTAGGAGGCACAGAAAAATGTACAGGCAAAGCTTTTTAATTATTATTTTAAAGAATCTCAGATGCCACTTGCTAGATATTATGCCTTTCAATATATACAAGTGATTTTGTACACGCTCACACTCTCCACGTTGGTAAACCAACCTATATTCGCCCTATTTCTCATTTAAAAACCTCTGGCATATGTTTAGGGGTTACCTGAGGGGTTGGCAAGGTTTACCTTGCCTGGGCCAGTTCACTCCAGCGGAGATCCCTCCATGGGCCGGATTGCGCGTGAGCGTAAGTGCGTGCGCCTGTGATTTCTGGGGTCTGTGCAGATGCAATTTCCAGTGTCTGCGCATGCACAGATGCGATTTTTGGTGTCGTGGAAGCGAGTCCCTGCACTGTGCTGCGCTGGTTTAGCACAGCATGTGGGGACTCACCAAGCGGGTGGCTCGGTTCGGGGGCGGCTCGTGGGCCAGTTAAACGGCCCCCATGGGCTGCTTGTGGCCCATGGGCCTTAGGTTGCCTATCCCTAGGTTACCTTATTGCAGTCTCACAAAAGTCCCTCCCACTAATTCAGGTTGAATGTACATGTCACCTTGGGGCTTCTCTCAGATTCCGGTTACATTTCCTCCCCCCCCCAATCCCAGCTCACTTTCATTTTTGTAGGGCGAATGTTCCCAATTTCCTCTTTTCATTGTTTGTCAAATGTGTCCATTAAACCAAGCCTGACTATGTTAGCTCTTCTGAAGTCTCAACACTGTCTGACATTTTAAAAAAGCAACTTCATTCCTTTCTTTGTTCATTGTTGTCTTCTTTTGGCCAAGCACAATCTCTTACTGCCTGTTTTGTCACTTTACCACCCAAGAGAAAAAGGTGAACACCTAGATCCATCATTTGGCTTGTGGTGGAGCTTTGTAGCTGCAGCTGAGGCACTCCTACTATTGTCAGCTTTGTGTTGCCATAAAGGTATTTCAGTAGCACTGTGTCAATCCATTCCAATGTGTCGGAGTAGCTACAAAATAAGCAAAAGGAGAGAAAAAGGACCAGTGCAGTTCTTCAACCAAGTGGCCTGTTTTTAAAGCAAATCACAGTAAAGAATCCCTTTGCAATCCTAGAATTCTCTGACAATGAAATCCATCCCTGCTACAAAAATGCGGGTGAGACGAAAAAAACTGTTTAATTGCAACTGAACACGTACTGGAAAGTTGTTATATGGGAACGAAAATTTCTTGCCACCCCTGTATGATGATTTCACCCATCAATGGACTAAGGAATCCATCTGTGGGTGCAGCCAGCCAGTTCCAGTTTGCCTTTACAAGGAGGTATCTGCCACAGGGATGCGGGTGGCGCTGTGGGTTAAACAACAGAGTCTAGGACTTGCCGATCAGAAGGTCGGTGGTTCGAATCCCCACAACGGGGTGAGCTCCCGTTGCTCAGTCCCTGCTCCTGCCAACCTAGCAGTTTGAAAGCATGTCAAAGTGCAAGTAGATAAATAGGTACCACTCTGGCAGGAAGGTAAATGGTGTTTCCGTGCACTGCTCTGGTTTCACCAGAAGCGGTTTAGTCATGCTGGCCACATGACCTGGAAGCAGTACGGCAGCTCCCTCGGCCAATAAAGTGAGATGAGTGCCGCAACCCCAGAGTCGTCTGTGACTGGACCTAATGGTCAGTGGTCCCTTTACCTTTACCTATCTGCCACAGGACCCAGAGGAACACTGAGAGCAACCTGTGGACTCCCCTTAACCTTCAACCATCAGGGATTTGAGGATGCTCTGGTCTCTGAAAGTCTTAACATGAACAAGGCTCAGGGTGAAATAACTAGGGCAGGAGTCACTTAATGAACACTGTCCATGGAAGCCATGTGAAAGGGGATTTCCCCCATGCCCCACAAAACTGGCCCAGGAGGGTGTCAGAAGAACCTCAAGAACAACACACAGCCGGGGTAGAGGGGTGATCATTCTGAAATGCTTGCATGGACAATGTTCAATACAGTGTGACATTAAATTTCCAGATGAATAATGAATGTTAGTTTTTGGGTGCCACACAATGGTTTTACTGCAACAGAACTAGTACAGCAAACTTCCAGTCAAGAATTCAGTGACCCTTCCTTGCTGGAGGCCTTCAAGCACTTGCTGGGTAGAAATCTCTCGGGGATCCTCTATCTTCCCAAATGGAGCAAGGTTTGGACTAGCCAGCCTGACAAGGCCACCTCAGCTCTTATGATCCTATGACTACAAGAAGATGGAAATGCTGCATTGTTTTTCTATTTTATCTCAGCTTGCAGGATGCATTTACAGCAGGGGTTTGTGTGTGTGTGAGGGGGGGGGGTTAATAGCACTTTTACAATTCGAAGAACTTTTTAAAAATGTAAGGTGCTTTGTGTTAGAATGCCTTCAAGCACTTTGGGGGGGGGGAACAGCACACACTACAGTACAACAACTGCTCTAGTGTGAATATACTGTATGTAGCATCTGGCAACAATGACTGACACAGACAGAAATCTGGCAAGATGGACAAGCAGTTGGGTCACGTCTGATTGTATTTGCAGCTTTGTTCAAAGACAACTTACTTGTTCTTTGACACATTTGACTATTTGGTCATGTGGCGTCTTCCTGAAATATAATTTTTATTATATTTCTCTAGAGATGGTGAGCTGCCTCCTCTGTCCATGTCCCCCCCCCCCTCTGGAGAGCTCACCTGCGCACAGAAGTGAAGTTCAGTCCTTTGTCGTTTGTCACAGAGATGGCCTGTTTGACAGCAGCATGCAGGAGGTGGACGTTGCTGTCATGGAAGCATCTCTGGTAATTGATGGTCAGCACAACCAGAAAGAACAGCATATGAGTGAGGCAGTTCTGGAGAGGAGGAGGTGGGAGAAGAAAGCAACGAAAGTGATGGAGCATGAACAGGGATGTCAGGTACTGCCAATAAGAGAGTGATCAAAAACCAGACTGCAAAAAGGTGAAAACCCCAGCAATCGCTAATGTGCATTTATTATTTAATTCAAACATAGAAAGATGTAATGCTTTCCTACTACCTAACACTACCATTGAGTGACAAAACCAAAAAAATTAAGGTTGCATTACTATTTATTATTATTATTATTTATTTAAAACACTTATTTTTAAATTCGATTTCCGTGTTGTTTAAAGTACAAAACAATATTGGTCAGATCAGTTCAAATCCAGCCTGGCAGAAATTATCCATAGAATGGAATATCCTATCCTATAATACCAGTCCAGAACAGCAACAGGATAACTAATTTCACTGAAGCCCTGGTCCAGCCATATGAACTTGTCCCTGCACAAAACAAGTCGCTAATGTTTAGGTCAAAGCCACAATCTTATTGGATGAACGTTTTGAAGAGAGTTGAAGGTGCTACACATCAAAGCAGCCTTTGCCATCCTGGTGCCCTCCAGATGTTTGCGGCTACAAACTCCCATCAGCCCTAACCAGCATCCCTATGTAATGCCAGGGCTAGTGGGAGTTGTAGTTCAAAACATCTGGAGGTCTCCAGGCTAGCAAAGGCCAAGTTACATCCAGGATTGCTCTTGAGATGGACAGTTATTTCTTTTGCCCTGTTAATCATCTCTGGTCAAACTGGTTTGGCAGAGCTTAGGGGTACCACAAGAAATCTGCATACCTGTTTGAATCACTGGTGCACTGCCATCCTAACTTTCAGCTTCAAATTATAATCGGTCTCCAACCTTAGCTGCCGTGTTATCAATGAAGTTGAAATTTAAATCTGTTCTGACACCTAGTGGTCAAAGAAAATCCTCACACTTGCAATCTCGTTTTTTCTAATTCACTGATCATCACCAGCTTGTGGGTCAAGGACCAGGCCCACTGTTTGGTTGTAGCCTGATGTAAACTGAGAACACAAAATACATAATAAACCAAAAACAAATCAATAACCCCCCCAACCCACTCCTCTTACCTTGATTGCCACTACCTCTGGCCACTGCGAGAACAGGATACAGCACTAGATCTGATCTAGGAGGGGTCTTCCTGTGTCCTTAGGTATCTTCTTCCTCTAGCTACCTTTATTCATTGCTCCATTGCTTAGAGCGGCCTCGGTCCAGTATAGCGTATCCACCCCCATCGTTCTACCCGGACACTGAGGTCCAGCTCCGAGGGCCTTCTGCCGGTTCCCTCACTGTGAGAAGCCAAGTTACAGGGAACCAGGTACAGGGCCTTCTCGGTAGTGGCACCCGCCCTGTGGAACACCCTCCCACCAGATGTCAAAGAGAACAACAACTACCAGACTTTTAGAAGACATCTGAAGGCAGCCCTGTTTAGGGAAGCTTTTAATGTTTGATCCATTACTGTATTTTAATATTTTCTTGGAAGCCGCCCAGAGTGGCTGGGGAAGCCCAGCCAGCCAGATGAGCGGGGTATAAATAATAAATTATTATTATTATTATTATTATTGTTGTTGTTGTTGTTGTTGTTGTTGTTGAGCCTCATTGCTTAGAGCCTAACTGAATGTTCTATCAATTGCATCATTCTTCTTTCTCACCTCCATCATCTGTGAGGTTCCTCAAGCCACTCATTCCAACATTTTGCACAAGGGAAGAAGTCACTTACCCACATCAACCCTTTGAGAGCTCGGACTTTCTTGGCCTCTTCCTTGGCCTGCAGCAGCCCATAACCACAGGGCACGCGCACCTTCCCAACTCGTTCAGGCATCTGCTTCACCAAGGGCTTCTCCACCAGCCCATCAGCTTCGCTCTCCACTGGCTTGCTGATGAGAGCGGCATGCAGAGCCCCAAACAGCACCTGAGAGAGCAGGTATATTCTCAAAGGCATTGCTGGAGGGACAGAGGAAACTGTCTTCTGCCAAGTCAGCCCATTTAGTTAAGCAGTGTCAACACTAATTGGTGCCAGCTTGCCAGGGTTGCACCCCAAACCTCTGCCTACCAAGAGTCTTTCAATCCCTGGAGATGCCAGGAATTCCTAGTACAGTGGTACCTTGGGTTACATACGCTTCAGGTTACAGACACTTCAGGTTACAGACTCCGCTAACCCAGAAATAATACCTCGGGTTAAGAACTTTGCTTCAGGATGAGAACAGAAATCGTGCTCTGGTGGCGCGGCAGCAACAGGAGGCCCCATTAGCTAAAGTGTTGCTTCAGGTTAAGAACAGTTTCAGGTTAAGAACGGACCTCCAGAACGAATTAAGTTCTTAACCCGAGGTACCACTGTACAGAAAGTGTTAATTCAATACACAAAGCTGTTCTTTCAAGATTTCATTGGCCTTATCTCTAGACTTATGAGTTGATATCATGGCACTTCTTGACTCTGATCAAGAATATACCGTACTTCATGGACAGCCTTTTTTGCTGTGTTGTTTTTTTTTAATTCACTAACCTTTTATTAGCAGGCCTGTTGTACAAATAGCCCTTACTTTGGTTTAGAGGGAAACTACACATTAAATTGAAAAGTCATTAGATTTCCCATAACTGGTATCTGTATTCTCTCCACCAGGGGAGGGGGATTTTGGTCAGGAACATATTAGAATGGGAACGAGACTGTTAAATGCACATCCTTCCCTGTGCCACTGCTCAATCTAGGAACCATCTCATTAAAAAGAAAGCATTAAAACATTAAATCACAGATCTCCCACATCATGCATAGTTTGGCCAACTGTGTCTTAAAAGAACTTAACGGCTTACAGGCTGGTTACAGAGTTGTTTGCAAAATGTCTCTTCCCTGTTGTGGTTTAAACATTATCTATACAGTAGTGGGACGTGGGTGGCGCTGTGGGTAAAACCTCAGTGCCTAGGACTTGCCGATTGTATGGTCGGCGGTTCGAATCCCCATGGTGGGGTGAGCTCCCGTCTTTCGGTCCCAGCTCCTGCCCACCTAGCAGTTCGAAAGCACCCCTAAGTGCAAGTAGATAAATAGGTACCGCTTTATAGCGGGAAGGTAAACGGCGTTCTGTGTGCTGCGCTGGTGCTGGCTCGCCAGAGCAGCTTCGTCACGCTGGCCACGTGACCCGGAAGTGTCTCCGGACAGCGCTGGCTCCCGGCCTCTTAAGTGAGATGGGCGCACAACCCTAGAGTCGGACACAACTGGCCCGTACGGGCAGGGGTACCTTTACCTTTACCTTTACCTTTATACAGTGGTACCTTGGTTCCCAAATGCCAAAAACCTTGAAGTAAGTGTTCCAGTTTTCGAACGTCTTTCAGAAGCCAAACGTCCGATGTGGCTGTCGGCTATTGTTTCCGGGGCACTTGCACCAATCAGAAGCTGTGCCTTGGTTTTCGAACATTTCAGAAGTCAAATGGACTTCTGGAATGGATTAAGTTTGGCGCTTTTGTTTTTACTATTTAATTTGGATTTTTGTTTTTGAGGCTTTTTAGGTTAATTTGGTTTTATGATTGGGTGGAACCCAGTTCAGCTACTGATTGATTGATTGTGTGACTGCAGAAATGAATAAAAGCCCCTCATCCAAACAATGACCATCATCAGTGCAGGTAAGATTTTTAATTTTTTTTTAATTTTTAATCATCTACAATACTGTCTTATTTATTTTACAGTACAGTACATTGATTAGTGCTTTCATTTTATGGGTCAATGGTCTCATTAGATAGTAAAATTCATGTTAAATTGCTGTTTTAGGGGGTTGTTTTTAAAAATCTGGAATGGATTGATCTGTTTTGCATTACTTTCTATGGGAAAGCGCACCTTGGTTTTGGAACGCTTTGGTTTTGGAACAGACTTCCGGAATGGATTAAGTTTGAGAACCAAGGTACCACTGTATATATATAGCAGGTGTGACCATTGAGAAAATTCCAGCAGTGCCAATGAATTTTGTTGTGCTATTACCTTCATTGGCTCCAAAAAGATGAAAGATGTGGCGAAAGCAAAGGCAGAGGAGATGAGCCACATCAAGGCAGTGTGGTCAAGGAAGGAGGAGCCATATAAGATATTGATGGAGAAACAGCCAGCAAGCAGCAAGAAGATGGCTATGTAGATAGCTGGGAGCATCCTGGCAGGGAAGAGCCATTCCTGAGGTCTTCGGGGCACCCCTAAAATAAAGACAACCAAGCACCTGGAGTTACATCCCTTTTATTTGGAAGAATCCCAGGATCCTTCCTGTTCCTAAGAGCTTTGATTTCATCTGTATGAAAGCAGCCATGGGCATTTCTATCTCTGTTAGGTGAACACAGCATTCATCTATTATATCAATCCATCAGGGCAGGGCAAAATTACCCTTGCCCAAGTACTTCTAAGCCCTGTATCACCTCCTCCTAACCAGAAAATGCACCTTGCCCCATTTAAGAAAGCAATCTCATCCTCAATGCCTCATGGTCCATAAGAGGACATCACTCAAGTGAGACCATATTCATTCTTCATTTCCACTTAAAAGTGTCCAATTTATTTATTTTTTTAAAAAGAAACAAATAATATTCCAAAACAATATATGTAGCATAAACACAGTATTTTGTGTTCCCAACAAAATAAATTCAAAACAATAAAATCATGTAAAATCACAGAAGAGAAAACCATAATAAACTACTTTGGGAAAACATATACAGTTGTACCTTGGTTGTTGAACTTAATCCGTTCTGGGAGTCCGTTCAACTCCTTGAACTGTTCGAAAACCAAAGCGTGGCTTCCGATTGGCTGCACGTGCTTCCTGCACTCAATTGGAAGCCACGTTGGACGTTCAGCTTCCGAAAAATGTTTGCAAACCGGAACACTCACTTCCAGGTTTGCAGCGTTCGGGAGCCAAAACATTCAAGTACCAAGGCATTTGAGAACCAAGGTACGACTGTATCATTACAGAAACTCAAAGCAACCTCCTACAGCCATTTATCTGCTTTTACTTTAACAGTATGCATAAATAAAATTGTTTTCGCTGAAATATATTATGGAAAGGGGCAGATGATCTTCTCTGAGGAGACTATTCCAAAGTCTACATAAAACAACAGAAAGGGTTAAGTTGTCAGGAGTAAAATTTGACCAGGATCAAATGCTGCACCATCCTATCCTTTGTCAGCCCTTAAGACTGCCATGAAAATGGCATGTCTTTTTGTTGCACAGGGGTCCAGGCACTAGCTTCACCGGGTCAATGACATGTGAAAAGAAAAACAGACTGTTTCTCCCCCCCCCCCCGCCCCTGCATTAGTTAATCCAGAATAATTACTATACCTCAACACATAATAAAATTCTGATTCTGCCTTTAAACAACTGTGCAAAAGGTGGGAGAAGAAATTTAGCTGCCTTGATCATATGTACAAAAGAGAAAGTGTGCTAAGGGAAATCTGAAAGGGACGCGGGTGGCGCTGTGGGTTAAACCACAGAGCCTAGGACTTGCTGATCAGAAGGTCGGCGGTTCAAATCCCTGCGACAGGCTCCCATTGCTCGGTCCCTGCTCCTGCCAACCTAGCAGTTCGAAAGCACGTCAAAGTGCAAGTAGATAGATAGGTAAACGGCATTTCCGTGCGCTGCTCTGGTTCGCCAGAAGTGGCTTAGTCATGCTGGCCACATGACCCGGAAGCTGGACGCCGGCTCCCTCGGCCAATAAAGCGAGATGAGTGCCGCAACCCCAGAGTCGGCCACGACTGGACCTAATGGTCAGGGATCCCTTTACCTTTACCTTTAAGGGAAATCTAATCTATGTTAATTCATATTACAGGTGCCCCCTGTCCCAGCATTGAGGCTCCCATAATACAAGTCTACGAGGGCGTATCCCATTAGTGTTCACACATACCAATCCGGGTAGAAAGCGAGGAAACAGTAGCAGGAGGAAGTTCCAGGTCAGAAAAGAAAGCGCTGCCAATATTGGTCATAGCAGATACATAAGAGAATGACTTCCGCAGTAAGCCCCAGCTGCTTCCATGCTGCACAATCCCATCGGACCAGCCACTACTAGAACTTTCCATTCTGCCAGCCAAGGGGACAAAAGAAGAATGTGCCAGAATTAGAGGCAAAGGATGTGTCTCAGCCACCAGGGAAAGTACAACAACACATAGGAGCCATTTCAGAATGGGGGACTACAGGCAGCTCACAGGCTGGCACAGACATGTCTAATTTTGAGGCTAATGCAGGCTTGCTGCTATTGCACCTGGATGAGTCTGAACTTGAGGTCAAATAATATGTGTAAGATAAGATAAGATAAGATATAGATATATAGATATAGATATAGATATAGATATAGATAGTTTTAATTCTATCAGTGTTTCCCTGTTGTTTAATTATTATTTTCTGGTTTTGGTGGTTTTTATTTGGTGGTATAAATAAATATATAATAATACTTTAAATATATTATTTTTTAATAATAATAATAATCAGGCTTAGCTTGTTCAGACCTCACTTTGAGATACACTGTGCTTGGGGTGCAGATACATGCAATCTAAGTGTAGCAGGATCAGTTTGAACACAGCCTCTCTGCCTAGAAAAGCAATGCCTCAAACCACTTTCACCACATATCTGCCTGTTTTCATTAACCAAAATATGCTTTTTTAACTGAAAACAACCCAAATGGGAATGAACGACTGTATTTATGTGTATAACTCAATTGATTGAGGTACTAATTATTATGAGTTTGGGCTGTCCATCCATTTACTTTCTTAACCTTGTTCCCTCCGCTCCCGCGAGCCCCCATCTCTTGAGTTGAATGGCTGCTCAAGGCAGCAGCAGACCAGGGAACATACCCATCATAGATGAGATCTGCTTCAACTTGGGGTGAAAACCGGCCACTGTCAGATGTGACACAGTCAGAGATGTTCTCCTGAGTTCTGTCAACCACACAGTTGAGCAAACCTTCCGCTGTGGGGACAATAAGAAAAACTGAAGTTATAAAGTAGGTCCTACTGTTAGGCCTTCATGCAGCTAAGCTTGCTTTTCACCTTCCCAACCCCATTTCTGAAGCCACTTCTCTCACCTATTCTGCAGCCCTGCTTTGCACCCCACTTTCGATCTTCATCCCTATGTCCATTCCTCCTACCACACAGATAGGTAGCCGTGTTGGTCTGCCATAGTCAAAATAAAAAAAAATCCTTCCAGTAGCACCTTAAAGACCAACTAAGTTAGTTCTTGGTATGAGCTTTCGTGTGCATGTATCTGAAGAAGTGTGCATGCACACGAAAGCTCATACCAAGAACTAACTTAGTTGGTCTTTTAGGTGCTACTGGAAGGAATTTTTTTATTTTTCCTACCACACATTACAACTACAAAGCATCTTTTTCATTACAAATCCTTCAAAGTGGGGTCTGCGTGATGACAGCCTTACATTTTTATGTATATAGGAAGAAGTAGCTCATTATGAGGAAGGCCAACTTTCAAAGTTCCTTTTCGGAATCAAAATAGCATAAAAAGCAAACAAACAAGTGTACCCTAAACCAGCTAGAAATTGCTTTCACTTATGATTGGCCCAAATTTATCAGTAAAAGGATGCAGTGCAATCCTACGCATGTTTACTCAACAGTGAGCCCTGCTGTGTTCAGTGGGACCTACTCCTCTAGTGAGTATTAGGATTGCAGCCTAGGTTGATTAATCTACCAAGTAAACCTTTGGTTCGTTTTTTTACCATAGCCAAACGTCTACTCATAAACAGGAGTGAATCTATGTGTGAGAGAGACTGAGTGCAAGGGAGACATAGTAGGAAAAATGTGGTAGGAGATTACCAGAATGATGGCCACAGCTCGACCTCCTACTGTCCTCAGAATCTCTGAATGAAAAGGACAGGGGGTCATCATCAGAACTGGACATGGAGTCAATTCCCAACTTTGCCATTGCCTTCTTCCTCTTGAGAATCCTACTTCCATTCATCAGGGGGTCAGAGTTCAGAAGGTCCGGAATATCAAATATGCTGTTGCATGAAGGCCATTGATTGGCAGCCCTGCAGATTTTTGAAAAGGCACCTGAATAAGGTCAGAACCTTGGCCAGTAGGAAGCTCACACCTTGTTTAACTAGTTGAGGATGCTTCAACTGTAGCTGGTGTTATGTATTGAGTCAAAGGATTTTATATGTGTATTATTATTGTCTCTATTTGCATTAGGGTAAAGTAACTGCCTTTTGGTTTCAGAGGGTACAGCTACTATTGGTTCATTTAAGCTGCTGTATTTGGATCCTCTGTCTTATTGGTTTCCTCCAAAAGGCAGGACTGTGATTGCCTGATATTGTTCCCTCCAAAATGTATCCTTTCTAGCTAGTCCCCTGTCCCTATAAATGTAGCTTCCCCTCCTCAGGTCTCAGTCTTGTTTGCTTTAATAAAGAAGTGTTACTAGAGAACTGTCTCCAGCATATTATGTTAAGAGAGCTGAAATCACAAACCCCACGTCACAACAACTGGCGATGATAATCTGAAACAGACTTTCACATCCCTGACCATTGCCCCTTCTGGCTGGGGTTGATGAGAGAGCCAGCAATCAACATCATCGGTAGGGAACAGGGTTAGGGAAGGCTGTTCTGGGGTGAGAAAAGATTCTTGTGCCTCAAGGTCTGCTCAGACAAACCTACCAAAGCCAGGATGCTACTGTAGCTAAGTGATTGGATATGCCAGCAGAAATCCAAGGTTCCACTCAACCAAGAAGTTTGCAGGATAGCTGTAAGCAAAGTCATAATTTCTCAGGGTTGTTTTGTGGCTAACTCACTACTCTGAGGGCCAAACTAAATGTGAGATTTATTACATGCTTTGTCCCGATGCGTGCGCACCCACCCACACGAGGTGAAGCAGCATCATGGGAGAGCTGTTTCTAGGACCAAGGTGAAACTGTCATGCTCCCTTGCTATTTTTGCTATTGCCATGCAGTATTGTAACAATACCTGTCGTTGCCTATGAAGTTCTTCTGGTTGGAAACTGGCTTTCTACTAAAGAGGGATTCCTGTAAAAGACAAAATAAAACAAATTAAAATGGTCAAAAGGCAGGGAAATGCCAAGTATGGATGCCACATAAAACCAAGAACTGTAAACCTCAAAGGAACCTTCATCCCGATTACTATTCAGGGTATAGAAGTAAACTAATCTCTCTGCTACTATGTCAGATTGAACGGAAGTCAAACTGAGGGTAACTAGATGAAATAGATGACAGGGCACCACCCTTTACAGTGGTACCTCGGTAACAGAACTTAATTCGTTCTGGAGGTTCATTCTTAACCTGAAACTGTTCTTAACCTGAGGTACCATTTTAGCTAATGGGGCCTCCTGCTGCCACCGCGCGATTTCTGTTTCTCATCCTGAGGTAAAGTTCTTAACCCAATGTACTATTTCTGGGTTAGCGGAGTCTGTAACCTGAAGTGTCTGTAACCTGAAGCGTCTGTAACCCGAGGTACCAATGTATAGTTGTGTAGAACATAAAATAAAGGTGGATACCGTTTTTCTTTTACTCCTGGAAATGTATCTCATGATCTGAAGAATTTATTCCAGCAAAGCAGCTCCTTTAAGATAGAAGTGGCTGACAAAGGCATCACAACTAAGAATTCTATTTTGTAAAAAAAAAAAAAAGCTTTGAAAATGCAAGATGTTCCTCTGGATGTCCTTGGTAGCCAAATCCCTTGCGGTGGGATGAGGAGGCAGGAGTTTTAAACCAGGAAATCCAAACCTCGCCTCAACTACAAGCTCACTAGCTGGTCTTAGGTAAGGCACAGTCTCTCAAGACTCAGTCCTGCATTGCAACATGGGGGTGATGATGATAAGTACAAGCAATCAAACTACCTCACAGGGTTTCTTGTAAAGACAATCAAGATATTATATGCATAGCACGTTGAACATTATATATTGATATAAATGCTTTTTAAAACAATAGCTCAAGCCTGGGGAGGTTGCTGGTTGGTTACAGCAGTGTTTCCCAACTGGTGTTCCGCGGCACACTAGTGTGCCGCGAGACGTTGCCTGGTGTGCCGCGAGATGTTGCCTGGAGGGAGGCGGGCGAGTCGGGCGGCGAGAGGCGGGGCGGCGGTGGCAAGGAGAGGCCGCCCAGCGCGGGGCTCTCGCCGTCTGCCTGCCTGGCTGCCTGCGAGCTCGGCGGGCAGCGCCTCCGTCCGCAACGCCCGCCTCGCCGCTCTCATTCCCTGCCCTGCCAAAGCTCACCCAGCTAAGCCGTGCTCTCCTTCCCTGCCTCGCTTTGCTGCCTCCTCCCCCCCCCCAAAGCTTGGAGGTTCCCCAGCGCCGACCCGCAGGTTTGACCCCCTTCTCACACCTGTTCGCGCTCCTTGCACGGAATGGGGCGGATGGGGAGGAACCGGGGCTCGCCGCTGCCTCCGCTCGCCCTCCCCCCCTCGCCGGCGGTCCCGCGATTCTTGGCTTTTTGGCGGTTGGCACAGAAGGAAGGCAAGGGGGAGGGGAAAAAATTGAAACTTACACTTTCGTGCGTCCCTCCTGGCGTGACGCTGCGCGCTGACGTCACGGGGCTGTAATGGTGGAGTGCCTCGAGATTTTTTCATGAACAAGTGTGCCTTTGCCCAAAAAAGGTTGGGAAACACTGGGTTACAGGATCTCATGCAAGTTCAGCATTTGCCTGTTCCATACAACACTGTGGAAATTCTTCTATTGCCACTACGAGGCCCACAGAATAGCTCTACTCACACTGCCAACAGAAACCCATATCCACAATGGACTCCATTTCTTCCAGGGACAGATAAGAAGGAGGAGCTACCCAAGTTAGAGCAGTCAAGAGACACCTCCATCTCCACAGTCTGGCAGTCCTGAGCAGCGGGTCAGGATCTTCTATTACAATCTGTTGGACAGAGGGGACATGTTCACGCACCCTAACCAAACATTCAGTGGGGTCCTTGTCCTGCTGCCACCCCACGTGAGAGGCTGGTGCTCCACTCAACACTTGCTTAGTAATTTCTAATTCATTTCACAATGTAAAGGAAACGATTCATGACTCAGCAGTCCCTTAAGATTACCCTGGTTTGATGATAACATGGACATGTTTGCCTACAATGGTCAGAGCTACAGTGTCACATTTAAGAGACCTGCTACATATAAGCTAAAGGTGAGAAACCAAAGCCATTCAACAACAACAGCAGCAGCAATAACAGCAACCCCATAGTAGAGCATTGCACACGTGGGCATTTCAAGGAATATAAGTAGTATTTGTACAGCAATTTATATGTGTTATCTCAGTATTTCATACAACAGCCCTATAAGGTAGTCCAGTATATTAGGAGAAATTACATGTCAGAATGTGAAAATTGCATACAAAAATGAATATATGTAATGAAACAGTGTGCACTCTTGCATGGATTGATCTTTTTTTTTAATTACTGTACAAACTGATGTAAGCAAACTGAACCAAGACTAGAAAGATGAGGACATGAGGGAAACAAACAAACAAAAAAAGACTGTAACATAACAGAGAGAGTGGCTTGCCTGCAGCTTCTCTGTGAGTTCCTTTGAGCCAGGGACCTCCTGACTCTCTTTTGTCTCTCTCTACAGAAGCAAATGCATAGCTGAGCTGCTATGAGCATTATCAGAAGATGCTTCAGTGACTTATGGGATTTGGGTGGTTTATTTGGTTTGGGATCAAAGGTTTTTTGGTTTTCTCCTCTTTGTTCATAGTTGACAGCAAAGAACCCGGTGAGCTTCAAATCTTTGGAACTGATGCTCATAGCTGAACCCATGAACCCCTTGGCTCACCCTGAATTGCTGGGACTCCCTGGAATTGTGGAAGTCAATGTTCCCCAGACTATGATATTCAGGGTGGAAGTAGACACTGCCGTGGATGTCATGGTGAGGTAAGAAGCAAGGCAAGGAAGTCTGGATAGGTGCTTTCAAGTGATTACCCATCACCAAAATCCAAGTTGCAAGGAACACACAATCTTAGGGAGAGCTCTCTGGGAACAGCCAGTGTATCTACTCAAGGCCAATTCACACCATCGATTTCTGCAGAAAAAACCCCTCATTTGAGCTGACTTACAAACACTTCTGCTAAATTCATCCCAATTTAGCTTTTAGTATAGAATCGCTAACTCAGTTAGTAGCCACCAACTCAGTCTCATCCTATGCATAGATCACAAACAGTCTGAGCTGGTATCTTCCCCTAAATATATGACAATTCCTAGTACTCCCCCCTTCCCTCTTTTTTGGCACATTTGGTGATGTTCAGGAGGTGTAGTAAACTGCACCTGTGACTTTGCCTGTGCATGAAAGCCACACTGGTTTGGTAGAAAATGAACCATGAGGCATAGAGGATACCCAAGAATCAGCCTGTTGCAGGGCAACAGTCCAGTTCAGATCACAGTAGACCGCCACAGGGTACACTAAATGGGGGGTGTTACAGAGGCCAGCAAAGCAAATTGCTTAAAATAATGTAAGCAAGACAAGTCACCTATTTCAGGGGAAGGCAGACAAACAAAAATCAGAATAACCAGTTCAACAGCTCTGGAGAAAGCTGCTTTCTGATCGGACTATAAGTCAGAGTCAGAACATGACAGTGCCTGGGAGAATCACTGAACTTAAAATTAAAAAAGGATAATCTAATTCAACACCCTACTCTCTCAAGGTACCCTGGAGTTACCTGCTCTGCTGGTACCTGTAATGTCCCCACTTTAGTGTACCTCACAAGCAAGAACTTCCATGCCAGAGATGGCTTTGGGGAAAGGAATAAATATAGCGAAAAGACATTTGAGGTGTTGAAATAACAAATTGTGCAACCAGGACTTGCAAATTGCTTGACTTCCAGACCTTTGGCAGCGAGCATTGTATCCATCTTGTGGAAAACAGAATTTTTGGCAGGGGCTAAAGGTGGTGATAGGTAATGTGGGAGATGTACCAGAGGGGGTGATGTGATAAGGGGCACAGAAGAAACTCTGGGAAGGAATTGCTGAGTCCAGTCCAATCTCAGGCAGAGATAGGGTGAACTTTCTGGGTCTTGTTTTCAGTACTCCAGATCAACAAAACCAACAAAAGAGTCTTACGGCACCTTGGCGACTAACAAATTTACTATGGATTTATGGGCCAGAATGCCGTTCACCAGCAACAAGTAGTACAATTCCTAATTAACAGGGAATATATGGGTTCCCCTGTGTTGTTTGGCCTGTGGACACAAGTGGATGGGAATGGAGAACACTGAGATCAAAAGGAAGCAAATTGCAAAAAGAATGGAGAGTAATAATCACATCCAATAAAACAGTTAAAGTGGCAATTAGGATAGCTGTGTTGGTGATAACAGAAACTTCCTGGCCTTGGTAAGTTAGCAAACACATATAGTGTGATAAATATCTTGATTCAAGTCACAGATGATAGAACTGAATTCCTGATGAAATGTAATTCAGAGAGTTTCATGCTGGAGTCTCCCTTCAGATTTCCTTTGTTCACAGACAGGCAGGTCAACAGGCATCACTGGTAGAAATTCTGTGCCAAATTGTCACTCTGTGCAGACGCTTTAGGAAACACTGCCGCTCTCATTGTGACCTCTGCCGGTTGCCCGCAGTATATCCAATGCATTATTTGTGGTCTGTATTTCTGTTTGCAGGTGGAATTTTGGTGACGGCAGCCCAGAGGCAGAGACCAACCTGGCTCCTCCTTACGACACTCAGCTGCCACGACCGAATCCACAGACAGAACGAGTTCAAGTGTCAGCAAGGGTGACCCATGCCTTCATTCAGCCAGGTGGGAAAATGGGTTTGATACTAGGAGATAACTTAGGGAGCTCAAGGAGCTTCAAGTCACGCTTTTCTCCCTGAAATGAAGAGGAGGAGACTAGATGGATGAGAAGATAGCAGCTGAGAGAGCTATGGGGAGAAAGGTTAAAATTGGTGTGGGAAAATAGGTGCCAGGACAGGCTGACTAACCACCAGCAGGTTGAAATCTAGGAAACCAGAAGAGAACAGGTGAGGCAAAAGCATCATAGGAGATTGAGACCAAGACAGGAACACGCATATGGGAAGGGAAGCAAAGCTAATGAGGTGCACTGTAAAGTGAGGAAGGAGCTTTCCTGCTGTGGTAGCCGTGGGGAACTTGAGGCCCCTACACCTAAATTGACTGTCACCTGCCAATCACTTCAATCTACCTCAACAGCTTTTGTGGTTTTTCTAGGGTTAGATTTAAAATTATACCTATTTTATATACAAGTTGTGATTATTATGTACATTTTACGTATCCTACATTCTGTTCCCCCTTACAGAAAGACAGGATGTGAATCTGATAATTAAGGGTTAAAATACCCAAGGTTAGTCAAACTCAAGAGTAGACCCATTGATGTTAATGGACCTATAAGTCATGTCCATTCATTTCAACGGGTCTGTTCTGCGAGTGACTAACATTAGGCACAACCCGCATTTTAATTAACACATAAAGGAGAAACCTAGCTATGAGCAATAAATTGAAAAGCATCCAGCTTCTGAAAAATTACCACTCCTGAGTGATACGTACTCATCGTTATTTCTGTAGGTGACTACACGGTCAGAGCTGAAGCCCTCAACAAGTATGAGCAAGTTCACCAAATGGCCAGAGTCTGTGCTGTCGTTCCTATAACCCTGGTGACCATACTGTCCAGTCCAACTTCTCCATTGGTTAAAGAGGTTACTCAGTTTGAGGCCTTGGTTTCTCCTTCCCTCTATGGCATATGGTATTCCTGGAACTTCGGCGATGGGTCACCTGTACAGGAGGGGCAAAATTCTACTGTGTGCTATTCCTTTGAAAAGGCCGGGATTTATAATGTGACTCTAAGAGTCAATAACAATCTCAGTGACATAACATCATGGACATCTGTGTCTGTCAGGGAAGGAATTATGGGCCTGCACATAGTGTGCAGTGGGCCCAGTGAACTCGGTTCAGTCACAGTTGTCAATGCCACAGTTACCTCTGGCACAGATGTCAGGTGGTCTTTCGACATGGGAGATGGATCCACCTACAGAAATCTGTCACACGGTGTTGTTTCTCACATTTTTGCTGCTGAAGGAAAATACACAATAACAGTGACAGTTCACAGTGCTGCGGCCTATACCAAGGCATCCATCATAGCCAACATTTACAAACTGCGTATTAGCAGCATCCTGGCTCCTAGTTGCCTCTCCAGTGGGGAGCTGATCTTGTTCCAAGCTTTTGTGACAGGGCCAGTTAAAGGGATTATGTTCTGCTGGGATTTCCAAGATGGCCGCCCTCCCTCTGTTCGTCATGGAGACCCCACGGTCCTTCACAGCTACATGTTGGCTGGGAATTACCAGGTGAATCTGACTGTCTATGGAACAATGAACAGTGCTTCTCGTCAGCTAGCCGTTTGTGTAGAGGACAAAATCAGCTCAGTTAAGCTGTTGGCTCCAATGTCTGCTGTAGCCTTAGAGGAACCGCTTTCCTTCTTGGCTGAAGTAGATCCAGGCCCCGACCCTCAGCACCAGTACAGGTACCATTGGGATTTTGGCATCGGTGAAGACCCAGTACCTTCTAAAACTCCAGAAATCACATTTGTGTACTTGGAGGCTGGGTTGTACATGGTAACCGTGACTGTGTGGAACACGGTCAGCCAACAAAACGCCTCGGTAAATATCACAGCTCAGCAGGCCATTAATACCATCTCCATTCACCATAGTGGTGAAACGGGCATCTTTCTAGCTGTGGGCACTCCCTACGACTTCGTGGCTGAAGTCAGCTGGGACACTACAGCTGCATTTCAGTGGGACTTTGGAGACGCCTCACCTCATCAGGTGGGTCAAAGAGCCCCCCACACCTATAAGAAAGCAGGAGAGTTTACCATCGTGGTTGTGGGTGAGAATCTGGTCAGTCACAGGACAGCAACACTCACCATGACGGTGCTTACTCCAGTCAAGCTGTTGACTCTACATGCTGAGCAACCAGTCAGCGAGGCTGGGCAGGAAGTCACCTTCAGATCTTCTTTAGCTGCAGGGGATCATGTTCGCTATCGCTGGGCTGTTGGTGAAACAACTGGATTCCAAGAGGGAGCAGCCATTTTCACTCACACATTCCCCACTCTTGGCACCTTTGTGGTGTTTGCCGTAGCTGAGAATGCTGTGAGCATAGAGAAGGCAAACGTCACTGTAGAGGTCCAGGAAAGAGTCCAAGGGGTGCAAATCCACAGTGAGCATGTAGTGCAGGACAAGTATGTGGCCGTTGCGGAAGCCTTCTCTCTCTCCAGTGAGGTTGCTCAGGGCTCCAATGTCACCTTCCGTTGGGCAGCTTTGAAAGGAAAGCACCCGTTGTTTACTTCTGAAGGACAGTTGTTCTTATTCTGCCCCAATACAAGTGGGGAACTCCTGGTGGAGGTGAAAGCTGGGAATGCACTGGGTGAAGCCACCACCAGCCTTACCCTGGAAGTCTTGGAGAGAGTTCGTGGTGTGAAGGTTCAATCGGCCACTGATAATGTTGCAGCAGGAAAGCCAGTGAACCTGAACATTTCTGTGGTGTCGGGAACAGATCTCCTTTATCAGTGGAAGGTGCAGGAGGACGCACAGCTGCTGCTTACCACCACACCTTCCCTTTCGCACATCTATAACACCCTAGGCTCCAAGCTTGTCTTTGTCACAGTCTACAATGCCCTGGGATCCAGCAATGGCTCCACAGAACTCAGAGTGCAGGAACCTGTTTCTGCGGCAAATTTCAGTGTGGCAGGAATTATGCGACCTTTCCTCCTGAAGTCAGGCACCTCAGTAGAGCTTCTGGGCATGGTGGATGAAGGATCTGACCTTGCATGGGAATGGCAGCTACAGCGGGGGGAAGAGGAGAAGCTGATCCTCTCTCGTGGGCAGAACATCTCTCACAGATTTGAGCAGTTCGGAGACTACGGAGTGTTTCTGCGGGTCTGGAATGACATTAGCGAGAGTACAGCTCTGGGTGCCATCTCTGTCCAAGACCCTGTGGCTAGACTGGCTGTGACAGTGGACAAGAGGACAGTGTGCACAGATGACGAGGTTACTTTTACACTGCATGTGTTGAAGGGTTCGCGAGTGACCTTTGCCCTCTACTTCCCCTCGCTGGGGATTCATGTGGATAACCCTGCGGGGATCTTCCACTTTCCTTTTCCAGTGAAAGGTGACCACCAGGTGCTGGCATCTGCTTACAACAACGTTAGTAATCAGACAGATACTGTCATGGTGAAGGTCTTGGAGAAGGTGAAGGGGCTGCACCTCTTAGATGATTGTCCACCCATTCTGGAAGCCAACAAAGAACTTACACTCCGAGCAGCCGTGCAAGCTGGAGAGAACATTGCTTTCTCCTGGGCATTTCGGCTCCCTGGGCTGCCCGACTATAATGTCACAGGCCAGCAGGTGACGTATACCCCCTCTGGCAAAGACAATTTAACCATACTGATTGAGGCCACCAATGCTTTCTGTGCAGACACTCTCCTGGTGGTAAGAACGTTAGAGGTGTCGGTAGTGACTGTTAACCTGTCCAGCAATGGCTCCAGGACATTTGTCAATCAAACCGTGACATTTGATGCAATGGCGGTTGGTGGCAGCAACCTTCACATGGAGTGGAATTTTGGGGACTCGCCCGAAACCTTCGCCAGTGAAGGAGATCAGAGAGTATTTCACAAATATCGCCAAGCTGGTGATTTCTTGGTAGAAGTGAGAGTCTACAACAACGTCAGTTTTGTCTTGGCCCAGTCAAAAGTAACTGTGGAGCAGCTGCTCTGTGAAAGCCCTACTCTGAAGCTGGTTGAGCCTCTCTCTGTGATCTCCAAATCTTACACCACCTACTTTGAGGCTGATGTCGACTTGAAACAATGCACAGCCTACCGGGCGTTGTATCGGTGGGAGATATTCCGCAGCTGCAGCTGTGATGCTCCGTCCAAGACCAATGCAGTCTCATTACCGCATGTAGATGTGCTAACCCCTCGCCTTGTGCTCCCCAAGTTCTCTCTGGACGTTGGTCCTCACTGCCTGCTTTTCACTATTTCTCTGGAGAACACACCCTTGGCCCAGATGGCTTGCAGTGACTTGACTGTGCTTTCCAGCAAGCTAGTTCCAGTCATCCAAGGAGGATCCTGGAGGAGAGGGACAGCCAAAATGGATCTGGTTCTAGATGGAAGCAAGTCATATGACCCTGATGTGGAGAAGGGTGGAAACTCCTCTCTGGCGTACCACTGGGACTGTCAACTGGAGGTAAGAAGAGGACCTGGAATGGCAGCAAGAAGACACATTGTTTAGACCAGGGTTTCCCAAACTAGGGTCTCCAGCTCTTTTTGAACTACACCATCCCTGACCCTGCTAGCTAGGGATGATGTGAGTTGTAGTCCAAAAAGTTTGGGAAATGCTGGTCTGATTAACTAATGAGAAGCATAACCTGAAAAGGTGGGTTTTCCTTTATATGAAGGCTTTAATGCAGGGGTGGTGAAACAGGAGCCTGCTGGAGGGCCAAATCCAGAAGTGACCGGTTCCCCAGAGGCCACTTTATCAGGTGGGAGGAGTTACCCACCTGTCAATCACCTACCATCACACATTGCTTGGTGATTCAAACTTTGCAGCCATGGCTTAAATTCAACACTTTGTGAATTTGGTGCTTCTCTATGTCAAATTCAGAAGGCACCAAATTTCCAGCAGCTGGAAATGAAGAAACAACAGTGCACTTTGAGTATGCTCCCAGTTCATTTTGCATTTGGAGCTATGGCTTTACCTGCCGAGCACCTGTTTTATTTCTTTTGCTTTCCTGCCCTTTAAAAGCTGTTATACCAGGAGAGCATTCCCCTTGTCCATTCTCACTTCTTTTGTATGAGAGAGAAGACTGAGCCTCACTTTACAGGGGCCTGCAGAGTGGCTCTAACTTTTGGGTAAGGGTAGGAAGAGGACCATGGCACTGGGGCAGAGAACCTGGGAGGAAGAGCCTCCAGGTACTTCAGAACATAAGGCCAGGCTCAGCTCTCACAACTTTCTACTTTAATTGTATGCCAGCTTTCAAAAGTCTGTTGCTTCATAAGATTTCACCAGGGCCCTTACACTCCCCCCCGCACCCCGCGCAGCCTCAATTTCAGCATCAGAGCAGAAATAGTTAATGCAAAAGGCCCTTAACTGAACTTCTCTCTGCCACAGGAACCTAATGTGTCCACAACTTTATGTGGCTTCCCTGCTATGGCAGGCATGGACAGAGTGATTGTCCCACACACTATGCTGAATCCAGGAGCAACTTACCACTTCAACCTTACTGTGAGGAAGCCTGGTAAAGATCCTGCTTGGGTGACACAGACGGTGAGCTTGGCTTTACAGGGGTACCTCGGGTTACAGGTGCTTCAGGTTACAGACTCCACTAACCCAGAAATAGTACCTCGGGTTAAGAACTTTGCTTCAGGATGAGAACAGAAATCGCACGGCGGTGGCGCAGCAGCAGCGGGAGGCCCCATTAGGTAAAGTGGTACCTCAGGTTAAGAACAGTTTCAGGTTAAGAACGGACCTCCAGGACGAATTAAGTTCTTAACCTGAGGTACCACTGTATTACCTTCTCTAGTCTCATGTGGCCACTCTGACTTCCCCCCATAGAAATTGACAGAAACAGACGGACACAGACAGACAGACACAGTGAACATGTAGTGCAGGACAAGTATGTGGCAGTCGCTGATGGTTGCTTATAGGGAGTCTTTTTGAAGAGTTTGCTGAGGGGGAAATGCTCCTAAAAGTGAAGCATTTTACCCTCTGCATAAAAGTGCCTTGTAGTCAAAACACTTCCTCTGGAAAGAAAGAAAGAAAGAAAGAAAGAAAGAAAGAAAGAAAGAAAGAAAGAAAGAAAGAAAGAAAGAAAGAAAGAAAGAAAGTTCTGCTTAAAAACAGAGCTTTTTCTTTCTTTCCACAGAACACAGTCTGAATGCAAGCAGCTCCATCCAGCCCCCTCAGCTGCACTAGGGAGTTCCTGAAGGGGAGTGATTCCTCCCTGCTGACTTGGGACAGTTAGTTCCTGTCTTCTTGTATCAAAGACATAGATCAAAGACTGCCATGCTGAATGACCTCTTCTTTTCTCTTTGACAAAGAAACACAATGTACGTAGGGATGCAAAATGGCAAGGAAAGCACCGAGCCCTGGAATAACATTAAATGCACATATTCTTGCTATGAAGCTGGCAAGCCCAGTCGAGACCAAATGTTAGGATTTAGCACTCAGGGACAAGTGCAGTATGGGCAAACCCCCTAGACACACTACTGGCTTTTGTCCACACTCTGACGGACCCTTCACCACAGTTCTGTTACGTTGCCTGGGAGAGGTCCAAGGGACTCCTCCATTGCTGGACATCTTGCTCCTCTTCTGTAGGGTCACGTTTCTCCATTTGTACCAACTAGCCCGCTGTGTCTTGATTTGGGGCTGACTTTAATATTGACTCGGGTGTCCTCTGGCAGGTTTCGATCACATCTAGCCAGATCCTGCCTGTGACCCTGGAGTGCCGTTCCTGCAGTGCTTTGTCAAGCTACGAGGTCAGCAGCAGCATCCATGTCACGCTGTCTGGACGGTGCGAAAGCTGCGACAATCGGAATGCTGGTGAGATGCTCTCTTCTGATTCCAGGGCCATAGAGCAGCAGGGGTTTAGTTGCGCTTAAAAAGAGGCGCCATTCTGATGTATCGTGATCTGTGCTGTCTGGCCCTTGCAGTACAGCTGGAGAGCTCGGAGTTCTGATGGCCAGCCTTTGACCTTGGACAATGTGACCACTTCCACTGGGGACTCCAACCGGGACCTGGTGATCAGGCAGGGGGTCCTGCAGGATGGAGTGAACTACACTTTCACCCTTTTGGTCACTCAGCCTAGAGGACAGCTCTGGGGAGAAGCCAGCATCACCCTCACCCCAAACCACCCACCCAGGGGAGGGCTCTGCATTCTGAGACCAGAAAACAATATCTACATCTTGGAGACACCAGTTCGATTTCAGTGCATGGGTAAGTAACGCAGCAAGATTTCCCCAGTGGGGATCTCAGTGCCGTTAAAGAACTGGAACAGCTGCATCTCAAGGAGCTGTCCTTTGGAAGCTGTTTGAGCTCCACTTTTGTGGAAGCTGCAGGCAGGGAGGGCAGTCTTGTCATTTAGGCTCCATAGGTACCTGGGTCATGTGTAATTTTGCCTGCCAGACCACTAGACAGTAACTTATGTGTGCGAGGATAGACATAGACTAGCATTGCATGGAATTCATTCATGGCTCAGGCATATACAGCTGTGTTGGAGCCAGACTGATTCATATTCTCATGTGACCAAGCTGAAGTGATGTATACCTTTACACCTCCTTTGTCTGATATCCTTCAGCATCTCCTGCTCTGACTCTTTCAGGTTGGATGGATGAGGACAGCAGCCCAACGCAGCAGCAGCAGCTGATCTACACCCTGACTGCCGAAATGTGCTCCCCTCACAGCAGCCATTGTTGGCACTCCTGCCTGTATCGAGGGGTCAAGTCTGCCTTCAGCATCTTCCTGCCCGCAGGCGCTCTTGGCAACCAATCCAGTGTCAACATCCTAGTTGAGCTGGAGGATTCACGGGGAGCAAAAACCTTGGCATTGAACCAGTAAATGTGGGACCTCTTTGGGATGGGCCAGGCAGGAGATCTCTGTGCCTTGTTCTTCCAGAGACTCAGGAAGAGAAAAAAAGAACAGGCAGGAGAAGACAGCATGCTGTGCTGTGCTGTGCTGTGCTGTGCTGTGCTGTGCTGTGCTTAACTGCACTGTGCTGCTGTCCTAACAGTGGAATCACTGCCACTTGCCAGGACAGTATGGGGGGAGGGTGGCAAGGCCTGGGCTGTGTTGATGCACAAGCAGAGCCAATCTGGCACTCCCTCCAGCACACCCACACAGCCCTAACCTTGCTAACATCCACCCCCTGTACTGTTCTACGAAATGGCAGTAATGCTGCTGTCAAGAGGGAGGCAGCACAGCACTGCCACTGGCAGACAGAGTTGCTTTTGCAAGACTTATTTCTACCTGGAGAGAGATTAAAGCTGCAGTCATTGTGTTACTTCCTTGAGGACAGTTCTGTTCCCAATTATGAGGTTACTATGGCATTCAGTACTTGAGGATGGTAGCAAAACCTTTCTAAGTGTGGCTTGCACGGGCAGGGAGGAGGGAGGGATGCTTGCAAAGTGTGTTTGCACTTACAAAGTGTATTTGCAAAGTGTGTCCGCTCTCCCTGAGAGCCAGTGTGGTCTAGTGGTTAAGAGTGGTAGACTCGTAATCTGGGGAACCAGGTTCGCGTCTCCGCTCCTCCACATGCAGCTGCTGGGTGACCTTGGGCTAGTCACACTTCTCTGAAGTCTCTCAGCCTCACTCACCTCACAGAGTGTTTGTTGTGGGGAAGGAAGGGAAAGGAGAATGTTAGCCTCTTTGAGACTCCTTCGGGTAGTGATAAAGCGGGATGTCAAATCCAAACTCTTCTTCTTCTCTCCCTTTCAGAACCCTGACTCTCACCATGCCTGAACTCCCTTCAGGATTCAACACCATAACCAGCTGGTTGAAGAAGAAGAGCCAGTCGGAGCTGTGGGGTGTGGTCCAGCAAGGAAACCCACAGGAGGTGATTCCGTACTCCTTGGCTGTCATAAGCCTGCTGAATCATGTAAGCACTTGCTGCGGGGGGGGGGGGGAGAGAATGCTTTACATCTGCGTACAGGTTAACAATGCTTACACACCCAGGAACTTGAGATTCTCAAGGTCACGGTCCCATCCACAGCTAGGATCTGTTGTGCAGAGTTAGGAAAAAGGGTATTCTCCACCGTGACACCCCAGTTGTGGCATTCCCTCCGTTTGCACTTGCCCATTTCTTTGTTAACACTTAGGTGCCAGCCGAAGACACACTCACCCTAGCTTGGGGGTGGGGGTGGTGGATGGAGTGAACTTGGCGCCTGACAGTGAATGAGGTTGTGATATGGAAATTGGCTGGTGTGTTGTTTTTTGTATCTTCACTGTCGATTGAATTATTCAAGTTTTGTCAGGCCATGTTCTACTTTGCCCTGATATCCTTTGGGGAGGAAAGGTGATACACAAATATAATTAATAATAAAAAGCACTTTAAAAAATACGTATCATCTCCATTTGGGCTGGTTTTCTTTTTCTTTTTGGCAGTATTCTGTTGCAGCAGAGGTGATTTGGCCACATGTGGTTTTTTTCCAGGACTTTGGAAGAGGGTATAGCATGAAGGAGCTGAGGGACCGCATCTCCATCCGCAGCAATGTCACAGCAGCTCTGGCCTCCCTGAATATCTCCAGTGTGAAGGATGTTGCTCAGCTTAGCGCTGCACTGAGGGCTTGTGTGGTAGGACTCCTCCAGTAGATGTTTTGTCATTGCTCTGTTGGAGTCAGAGAAGGTGTTGCGATGATGGCCCACAATATTTGGGACCCTGCGGCAGAAAATCCAAATGGCAGTAAATATAACAATAAGCTGACTAGCTATTTGCTGTCCTTTCATAGTAATCCCCTCCCCAAGAAATCTGTGCTAGAGCTAGTGATATAAAAGGATCTGTTGGTTTTCCAATCTTAAATTCAGGTTTTTCACATTCTGCAGCATTTTGGGATATATCCCCAAATCCTGCAGAAAGTGATGTGTGATAATTCCTCTGTATCTTAGGGTCTCAGCCACACTTCTGCTTGCCCCATGCCTAGAAAGCATGAGGCCGAGTGGTTTTCCCGCTTGGCCCACTCATTTCCCAGGGAAACCCCACTCTTTAGCTCTAAATTAGAACATAGAGTTATAGAATTGTAGAGTTGGAAGGGACCACCAGACTCTCCTAGTCCCTGGAATCTTTTGCCCAATGTGGGGCCCAAACCTACAACCTTGAGAGTCTTATGCTTTACTGACTGAGCTATCCCAGCTGACAATTGCTGTTTGCTCCAGCTGAGTGCTAAAGAGCGGATTTCTCCAGAAAGGCAAGAGGCAGTCCGGATTAGCCCTTAGTGTTAATTTCTCCCAATAAACACTTTTATATATGTAGTTTTGACTGTGCACATTTTTGCAAGATGTATTCCCTAATTTAATGCAGTTTCATATGTTGTTTTCAGAGACATATTCATGTTTATGTACGCTTTCCCCATAGATATCCATTTTTGTAAACACTCTTTGGAGAAGTGTATCACAAAATTTGGATAACTCTGAATTTAGGACATTTGTGTTTCAGTTTGCATATTGTTCTAGAAAGTGTGGATTTGATGGATTCAGCTTTAAATGCTGAATTTCTCCTCTCTCCCTCGCTAGCTAAAGCTGAGCTGATAGTTTTAACATGCCATTGTCCATCTCAGGAGCTTTCTCTCTTTCCTTAAGCAGAAGAGAAAAAATTATCACTCAGAGTAAAAGCAACCATCTGCCTCCCGCAGCATCTTATCTTTCTTGGTTGTCACGAGTGCTGCCATTCTGCTCATGCAGCAGACTTCTGCTTGTGCAATGCAACTTCTCCCCTCTTCTCCTCTCACTTGCACACCTGCACACATTGACACGCACTCAGCTGGGGGACCAGAGCAGATTTCGTGAGCAGAGAAAGAGAGGAAGGGGAAGTCCCATGGGATACAACCCCGTTTGTAAGATGCCTAGAGCCTTATTGATCTATTTATTTTAGTATGCAACAAACAAACAAATCATTCTGAGTGATGGAAGGAAACTAATGGGGTCTGGGGGAGCGGGAGGCTCACTTGATGTGTCCTTTCAAAGAGAGCAATTGTGTGTTTGGGCAAGCAGTGAATAAGTCCTCTTTCCCCCCTGCAACACCAGGCATTCCCAGAAGAGCTCAGCCTTGGATCTCGTACCCAGATGCTGGAAGCTGCCAAGAGAATGATCCAAGTTATCCACAGCGAGACAAAAGAAGGTCATGAAACCCCCGCCTCCGCTGGCAACAGCATCTTGGCAATCCTGGGTAGGCAACAAAGGGCAGACGACTGCCATAACTACAGGGGCAGCACTTGGGCTGTTCAGGAGCTGTGATTCAATCTCTGTCTCCACTCCTGCCCCTGGTTCTTCCCTTTCTAGCCCCTGCAGCCAACAGAAGCAAAACAACTTGCTGGCTTCCTTTATTAGATTTTTAAAATGGCACCACAAACCTAAAGGACTAGGGTGGGCTTTGTAGGTTAATAAAACCTCAGGCCAAGCTACGTTATACCCATGGCCTGTCTTCCCCTCTACTCATCAAATTGTTCATCATAGTGCAGAAGGAAAAAAGTGGACAGAACTTCCTCCTGGCGTGGCTTCTTTCCATGAATATCCCCAAATTATATTCCTGTTGCGTATAAACAACTTATTCTCCTACCAACTCTTATTAAGAAATTTCTCCCGTGACTTCCTTTTATCCTTTGCCTTTGTTCTCACGCTGCCCCTTAAAGAAAGGATAAGCATCTGTTTTCCTTATCAATGCCAAGGGCTGACTCCAAAAAGTCAAATACCTAAGTCGTATCATTACATTACATAGCAACAGTGAACAATGGCCATGACACGCATGCTAAGCAAAGGTCTCTTGCAGACCATATGCACATGGATTTCTGGGAGCTGCTTAAAGAATTCTGGCCTTTTTTGTTTTCCTTATTTTTTATTATTACTTATGTGCAGTTGGTATGAAGAAAAGCTACCTTTCCTGGCAGATTTGTCAGAGAAGACTGTTATGTACTGAGTTGAATAGGATCCAAAATGCAGCAGTCTGATTGGTCCTAGAACAATAGGATTCAGAATGCAGCAGTCTGATTGGTCCACAGGAGCCACCCAATCCAGCTCCAGGTGGAAGTGAATCCACAACCTGATTAGCCTACAGGAGAATCCTGGAATTAGCCAATCACGTGGGGCCCATTGTGTAAATAATGTATATAAAGCAGACATTCTGAGGGAACTTCCATTCTTCCTCACCACTATGAGCTGAATAAAGAGCATGAAATCCACTCTCAACTCCAAGTATATTTCAAGACACAATGAAAACCTACTGTGAGTGGGCCCTTCTCTCAGGTCATTAAGCAAACATAATCCCTTGAAGGGAGATTGTGAAAACAGGTATAGGAGTGAGCGGCTATAAAGGACTGCATCTCTTGATATGTTATCATGTTGCTCCTAGGAATAATGTTAACTACTGAAGACACGAGACTGCACATGGTGGCGAACGACGGCGTGTCGAAGGAACCAACCCTCAGGAATTGGGTCTCCTCGGCTTTCAATCTCACTCGTGCTCTGATGAGGTCCTTGATGAAGTCCCGAGTGCTGAATGAGGAGACTCTGTCGCTCTCCGTCTCTGAGATCCACGTTCGGGGGAAAAGGGCGGATGCCAGCAATTTGCTGTGCACGATCCCCTCTGCGGAGTGCCTCTTCTCTGTGCCCAGGACGCTTGCCAAACAGCTGGCAGAAAGCCAGGAGGTGGTGCAGGTCACCATGGACCTTGCCATCAACCCCTTCCCTTTCAACTACTACACCAACTCTGCCATTTCCACCCGCCTTGCACTTCTGGAGTTCGCCACTCCAGCAGGAGTGCCGATCTCAGTTGCCAACCTGCCTAAGGAGAGAGCCATCAGCCTGCGATTACCTGCTGGACAGCAGAAGCTGCAAGACTTGCCCCAAACACTATTGGTCATCCCACCAGGAGACTCTGTTAACTTCACTGTGAAAGTTGCATCAGGCAGCAACGTGACAGGGACACACGTCCATGTCAGTTTCACTGTGATGGAGGGTAAGTGTGGCAAGGAAAAGTGGGAGGGAATAGTGGAGAATGCTCAGGTAAGTGAGACCCAGGAGTTTCTTTCACAATGTCCTTATACTCCATTGGTGAGCAGCAATGTGGCACTTCCTCTTCCAAACCTGTTTTATCTCTCCTTTGATATGTAATTTTCTCTATCTCGTACAAGTTACCGAAACGATCCTATCCTTTCTTCCCAGGCTTCGGATTCAGCCAGGAGAAGGTTCCCTCCCTTTATCTTTACGGATATAATGCTCCATCTCCCAATGAGTTCCACTACACCTTGAAGGAGGAAATTGCCTTTTCTAATGGTCTGGAGGAAAACCACAGTAGGGACGTCACCCTCTTAATTTCTCCTCTGTAAGTGTTGTTTATTTATACCCCGCCCTTCCTGGTTCAAAAACTGGGCTCAGGGCAGCTAACAACAAATTTAAAACATTTAAAAACACTTAATTATAAAATACAGTATAAAACATGAATAACAATAAAAATCAAAAATCAATTAAATAATCCCCAGGGCTAGCTGGCTGAATTGGTCTTACTTGGGCCAGCGAGGAGGTCAGGGGAGATTAGCTGTGGGGTCTCAGAGTGGGTGATCTTCATAAAAGGGGAGGGGGAGCGAAGAAAAGGGAAATAAAAGATCAGGCTGGATTCAAATTAAAGGCCAGGCAGAATAACTCTATCTTACAGGCCTGACAGAAGGAGGTTAAATCCTGAAGGGCCCTAGTCTCATGGGACAGAGCCTTCCACCAGGTCGGAGCCATCACTGAAAAGGCTCTGCCCCTGGTGGAGGATAGTCTGACTTCCTTAGGGCCCGGGACCTCTAAACTATGGTTATTCATGGACCTTAAGGTCCTCTGCGGGGCATACTAGGAGAGACGGTCCTGTAGATACGAGGGCCCTAAGCCACAAAGGGCTTTAAAGGTCAAGACCTAGCATGTCTGACCCTGAGGCTGTTCCCATTCCCAATTCCTTGAGCTGCTGTCACTGTGTGTCACAAAGTGGGGAGTGCCTGGTCCACATTAGTAAATGCCTGCCCATCACTAGCTGCTCGTAATATGTCTCCAGTGCAGATAGATGCTCGCTGAGCATAGAATGGGAGATGACACTGGTTGTAAGGGTCGGATCACTTCTGAGCAGTGGTGGATTTATATATAAACTAAACAAGCTATAGCTTAGGGTCCCACTCTCTTGGCCCCCCCCCAAAATCACTATTAATATACTTCTTCTTAATTAATAATAATGATAATGATAATGATAAATTTTCTTTGTATCCTGCCCTCCCCTGCCAGAAGCTGGGCTCAGAGCAGCTAACATCATATAAAACACAATATACATAAAAACAAACAATCGATTAAAATGCATCCCAAAATTAATTCAAATAAATTAAAATTAGACTGGACAAATGGCCATCCTCAAGTTAAAATTGAAAGCTGTTAATACTTGTCAGGACCAGCTATTTCCACTGATATTATAAGGACCTGTGAGCGGGCTAGGAAAGCTCCTTCATATTTATTCATACAAAGAGAAAATGAGTCAGACTGAACCCTGACCAAAGGCCTGACGGAACAGTTCTGTCTTGTAGGCCCTGCAAAAAGATGTCAAATCTCCTTGCGGCCCTGGTCTCTTGTGAGAGAGCATTCCACCAGGCTGGGGCCACGACCGAAAAGGCCCTAGCTCTGGTCGAGGTCAGTCTAATCTCCCTGGGGCTCTTCAGGGTGTTGTTATTTGTAGACCATAAGGTCCTCCGTGGGGCAAACCAGGAGAGGCGGTCCCATAGGTACAAGGGTCCTAGGCCATATAGGGCTTTAAAGGTTAAAACCAGAACCTTAAACCTGATCCTGTAATTGTATTTCAGTTCAACAATTGCTTTGATAAAATACATATTTTGTTATGTGCAAATGGCTTTAGATACCTATTGGGTCCATAAATCACCCTATCGCATATATTCAACACAAAAAACAGTGACAATTTGTTGTTGACAAAGACAGCTGGGCATATAAGGACCCCATTACCTTCAGTAGCTTAGGGCTTCATCAAACCTAAATACGGTCCTGCTTCTGAGCAGATACTTGTATCATATCGAGCATTCAAAGGACATGAAAGCATGTTCTCCTTGGGGCAGTGCTCCTTGTCCCCTCTGATCAAAACTGGAGAGATTATTTACATTCCCTGTAGTGTAAGTTAATACAGAGGTAGCTGTTATGAACTTGTGCTAATTTTGTGGCTGTCAACATCTTCCATCCAGTCACCATCTCAATGAGACTCATCAGGAATACTACATCAACATCACCAATCGCTTCTGTCATTCCCCCGTCCACGCCAGCGTCTCTGTTTTTGCCAGCCTTTGCCAGTACTTCCATTTTCCCAGCATGCAGTGGAGTGCAGATGGAGTGACCCCAACAGCTGCCACCAGCCCCAAGGAGATTGTCTGCCTGACGGAGCATCTCACTGTCTTTGGGGGTAGCCTCTTTGTGCCTCTTCACAGTGTTGTCTTCTTGCCACCGGTAAGAACTTCCTTTTCAGTTAGACATGCAGAGGGAAGATGAGTGGGCAAGGCTCCCATCAGTCGGTGGGCAACATCTTGTTAACATTGATCTCCTTGAGATACGCATGGCCCTAATGGCCTGAGCTACTTGGGATCCTCCTCACTGAATATCACGCTCCAGCCATGTATAGAGAGACCCACCAAATGCTGTTTTGGCAGTCCCAGGCAAGCAAGCCAAAATGCCCAGGATTTTATATATTCTTTACTACCCGTGGTACTACTTGTGGTACTACTACCTGTGGTACCCGTGAGCTACCACCCGTGGCTGGTATGAGTTGTGTGCGTATCACAAGCTGTTTAATCGGTTTTCCCAAAACACAACAAACTTCAGGTGTCAAGAATGAAGTGACGTAACATCCATTATGATGACCAATGAAGCACACTAACCCAAAGGAAGAATTAAATAAAACGCCTGCAGGATACATTTAAAAATAATAATAATAATTGTGGAGCTTGGAAGATCAAACATATGTGCAGCCTATTAGAGTTGCAGAAAGCAAACAGTTAAGTTGCAACTTTTGTGGCCTGATATATTGTAATGCATGGTCCGCAGTGACTTGGAAACAGAAAGCCTTCTCTCCTTTAGAGTATGGGTAAGAAGCATCATCTGCTTGGCTTTAATGTGAGATCAGCAAAGCAAGGGATGGCTTGGGGAGAGAGGGGGCAGGATGGTGCGGTGCATTTCACTCCTGTTGAATTGCGTGGTGTGTAAACCATGTAGAGATTTGTTTAAATATGAGTGGTATATTAAGTGTCCAAATATATAAATAAAGGTCTATGCAGAACTGGCTAAACTGATAGACAAACTGCGAGATAAGGACAACTGTGACTTCAAAGAAGAATGGGAACTTTTTACAAACTATCTAAAAAGACAACAAAATGAACTGGACTCCTTGGCAGGTTTTCAATAAACATACACAAATTTATTGATGGTTAATATAGTAGATAGACAATATAAGGATTTATACAATTTTACAGTATGCAGAGAACAATATGTGTTGAGAAATCAGAGTGAGGAACTGAGAGAAGTCTTGGGGGGGAGGGTTCATTGGAGAGGTGGGAGATAAAGGGGAAAAAATAATGAATATGATATGTTTTGATATGTTGAAATTGTGTGTGATATATATATTATATATATATATATATATATATATGCTTTCGTAGATTTTCACGGGTACAGGAATGCAGGTTTTGGTGTCCTCGGGTGTCTTCCCGTGTAAAAGTTGGGGTGTCTAGGCGACGTTTCGACGAGGTCTCACTCGTCATCTTCAGGCTGGTGCTTTCGGCTTCTTGTTACTGGAACAGAGCAGGATCTCAGTGTTTGAGTTCCTATAAATACTGTTGAGGGGGTGTGGTGTATAGCCTCCAATGTTCTGGGCAGAGAGGAAGTTCCCAGGCTAGTGTGCCTATTCTTCTTTTGTTCCTTAATTACTTGAGGGATATCTTGAGTGATTTCTTGAGTGATATTCTGAGTACCATTTAGGTGGGTCATTAGGTGTGGATTAGTTGCTCAAGCCTTCGTGTCTTGACCTCTTGAACTTTGTGAAAAGTTTTTCTGAGAAGATGGCTGTACTGCACTTAGTTGTGCTCTGGCTTGGCTTCGGGTATAGGGGCGAGCTGTGGTTTTGTGCCCTGTGCCAGTCAGATCTGTGTAGGGATTGCAGGGGGGTGCAGCATCCGGAGGTGCCACCATGGTTTGGCTACTGGATGGTGTCTGTAATTTATCTGTGGAGAGGGTCTGGGTTTGGGTCTGGTGTGGTTGATTGGTGATGGCGTTCTGTGTGCCTCTGGATCTGGTGTCGGTTTTTGTGGGGAGGGCTAATTTCCAGATGTCTGGCAGGCGGGACGTGTCGTCACGCTTGTTCATGTTGTGAGGGTGTTTCTCTATCTCGATGGCTTCCATGATTATTCTCTTGTGGTGATGTTCCATGTTAAAGAGCAATTTGGAATCTGCAAAATTGATTTCGTGTCCTGTTTCTTTCATGTGTTGGAAAAGAGAGGAAGTTTTTTCTTCTTTTTTGACGGCATTCTTGTGTTCTGCGATACGTGCATTTATTCGTCTGTTTGTTTGTCCAATGTACGTGGCTGGGCAGGCTTTGCAGGGTATTTCATAGACCCCTTGGTTTTCCAACTGGATTTTATCTTTGGGGTTTCTGAGGATATTGGCTATTTTTTGGTTGGTGCAAAAGGCTGTTTTGATATTGTGTTTATGGAGGATTTTGCTAATTTTATCTGTAGTGCCCTTGATATAAGGAAGGAGGGCCATGCCATTGTTTTCTTCTGTGTCTTGGTTTTTGGGGGGTGTTTCTTTTTGGATGGCCAAGACACAGAAGAAAACAATGGCATGGCCCTCCTAATCCACACCTAATGACCCACCTAAATGGTACTCAGAATATCACTCAAGAAATCACTCAAGATATCCCTCAAGTAATTAAGGAACAAAAGAAGAATAGGCACACTAGCCTGGGAACTTCCTCTCTGCCCAGAACATTGGAGGCTATACACCACACCCCCTCAACAGTATTTATAGGAACTCAAACACTGAGATCCTGCTCTGTTCCAGTAACAAGAAGCCGAAAGCACCAGCCTGAAGATGACGAGTGAGACCTCGTCGAAACGTCGCCTAGACACCCCAACTTTTACACGGGAAGACACCCGAGGACACCAAAACGTCGAGCTTGTGGGATATCAGTGCTATCCCCAGGTAAATGGTGTCCTCGGGTGTCTTCCCGTGTAAAAGTTGGGGTGTCTAGGCGACGTTTCGACGAGGTCTCACTCGTCATCTTCATCAGCTGGAAGGTTTCCTCCCCGTAGAGGTGAGATATTTGCTTTCGTAGATTTTCACGGGTACAGGAATGCAGGTTTTGGTGTCCTCGGGTGTCTTCCCGTGTAAAAGTTGGGGTGTCTAGGCGACGTTTCGACGAGGTCTCACTCGTCATCTTCACGAGTGAGACCTCGTCGAAACGTCGAAACGTCGCCTAGACCTCGTCGAAACGTCGAAACGTCGCCTAGACACCCCAACTTTTACACGGGAAGACACCCGAGGACACCAAAACCTGCATTCCTGTACCCGTGAAAATCTACGAAAGCAAATATCTCACCTCTACGGGGAGGAAACCTTCCAGCTGATGAAGATGACGAGTGAGACCTCGTCGAAACGTCGCCTAGACACCCCAACTTTTACACGGGAAGACACCCGAGGACACCAAAACCTGCATTCCTGTACCCGTGAAAATCTACGAAAGCATATATATATATATATATATATATATATATATATATATATATATATATGATAGAGAACCACAGTTTCTCCACTGGTTGGTTAACCTTCCCCTCTTCCCCTGCCATGCCCATGCACACTAATCCCAGTCTGCTTAATTTTTTTCAGAGGAAGCAGTCCTGGCAGAGTCCCTTGGCACTGATCACTTGCACCGTCCTTTTCTCCATTTACCTGGGGATAGCACTGATATCCCACAAGCTCGACGACATTGACATCACTCGGGTAGGGATCATCCCTCGGTGTGGCCAGCCTGGACGGTACAAGTACTGGCTGATGGTGAAGACAGGCTGGAAAAGAGGCTCAGGTATGGGAAGAGTCAGGGTATTGTTCTGACAGCCCATTTCACCATTGAACATGCTTCCGTACTCGCCCTTTCCCCCCTGGTATTTGCACCTTCCACTCACTCCTGAGAAATTGGTTTGTCTTTAAGGTGCTACGAGACCCTTTGTTGTAAAGAGCTAATGATTCACAGGAGTTTAATTTAACATTACCTTCCGCTATCCTGCGCATCTTTTGAAGGTACAACAGCCCATATAGGGATCAGATTATATGGGCTGAACAAAAGCGGCTCTCGCCACCTGGACAAGGGCTGGGCCTTCCAGAGAAACAGCCAGGATATTTTCCAAGTAGAAACGGATGCAAACCTAGGAGAGATTTGGAAGATCCACGTCTGGCATGATAACACGGGTATGACTTGACGATCAATGCTCTTTTTGCTCTTTTAAATCTTTAAAATACATTTATGTGCTACCTTTCCTCTAAGGAGTTCAGGGGCAATGTGCATGATCCCCCTGCCTCCCATTTCATCCTTAGGCTAAGAGATAGTGGCTAGGTCTCCCCAGTTCTCGCCCGACAATCTAACCCAGCAAACTTTTTCAGCAAACGTTTTCAGCAGGGGGCCAGTCCACTGTCCCTCAGACCTTGTGGGGGGCCAGACTATATTTTTGGGGGGGAAATGAACGAATTCCTATGCCCCACAAATAACCTAGAGATGCATTTTAAATAAAAGAACACATTCTACTCATGTAAAAACATGCTGATTCCCGGACCGTCCACGGGCCAGATTTAGAAGGTGATTGGGCCAGATCCAGCCCCCGGGCCTTAGTTTGCCTACCCATGATCTAACCACTACATCACACTGCAGAGCAAAAAGCAAGGTGCCCACAGTCCAGAAAGCCCAGTCTTGCAATTTGCTATGGACAGCAGAATTTCTAGGTAGCCAGGTACCTTTGAGTGTTCACAAGCAGGTTGTGATGGTGTTGGCTTTCCCTGGTTATTTGTCCCTGAGTCTGGCATTCTGCTTCATTTAACGATTCAGCATAAGACTGCATGCACAGCACAAATTTAAAGCACACTTGAAGCACATGACTTCCCCCAAAGAATCCTGGGAACTTTGTTTGTTAAGGAGTGCTTGGAATTGTAGCTCTGTGAGTGCTAAACTCCACAGAATTCTATGGAGGAAGCCATGCGCTTTAAATGAATGGTGTCTGTGCAGCCTGATAGCCTTTAATAGATCTTTCTTCCATGAATTTGTTTAGTTTAGTTTCTATCATCAAATGTTGTAGTTGTGCTTTCCATAAACTGATTACACTATAGCCAAGTTCACACAATATCAGTGGTTCTCAAAGGGTGTGGCAAGAGAAGACCACAAATGTGGCAGGAAGATTCAAGGACAATCAAAGAAACATTTAAACATTTCTGTATAGTGTAGTATCAAAGAATGTTTTTATTTATTTGCAGAATATTGATAGATCTCTTCAAAATGAGAGCAAGAGCGTCAAGTGATACTGAGGACAATCCTAGCTGTGTTTTCAAATGTATTTCTTATCAATAAAAAATTCAGTGTGGCACAAGGAAATTTTTATTAAAGTGTGACCCAGAGAAATAAGTCTGAGAACCACTGTTCTAAGCCAAGCTGTGTGAACATAAAGGACCCCAGAGAGGAGCTCACAATTGCTATGCTCTTCCCTGTTCCCTTCAGCTGCTGCGCTGTGCTATGCCAAAGTTTGGCTTGGTGTGGTTTCTGAACCAGGACTCGGGATTAGGTTCTTTCCTCCTTAACTGCAAACTAAATCCAAAAAACAATCAAAAGGGACCAGGGAGGAGCAAAGTTTCTGGGAGCCCATGTCTGGGCACCCACCCATTTGTGTGGTCTGGTGCCCCCTGTTGCCACAGTCCTGAACAGCTGTCATTGAGCTAGTTGTTTGGGGGACGTTCGCTTCACCATCTTTCTTTATGACCAGGTCTGGACCCCTCTTGGTACCTGCAGCACATTATTGTATGGGACAAGCAGACGGACAATATGTACTTCTTCCTAGTGGAGGACTGGCTGTCTGTGGAAAATGAAAAGAATGAGGGAATGGTGGAAAAAGAGATCCTTGCAGCATGTGAGTTTATAGCTTGTGGGAATAGTTTCCTGAGCACTGCAGTTTTCATAGGTATTGGTAACCACGGGACTAGAAAATTGGCTGGGTAGTTCAAACCAGTATGGGATATCAAGTCTCTGGTATCCTACATTAGTCCACCCTCCTTGGCCCTCGTTTATTCATTTCATAAAATTTATACACCGCTTGATTATAAAAAAAGAACCTTCAAAGCAGTTTACAAAAACAGTTGCCACTTCCAGAGCAAAGTACTATACAGTTGTAACTTTGACGTCTAACAGAATCCATTCTGGAAGTCCGTTCAACTTCCAAAACAGTTGGAAACCAAAGCGTGGCTTCTGATTGGCTGCAGGAAGGTCCTGCAGCCAATCAGAAGCCCTGTTGGACGTTCAGCTTCCAAAAATAGTTCACAAACCGGAACACTTACTTCCAGGTTTGTTCGAGAACTAAGCTGTTCGAAAACCAAGGTACGACTGTAGTGATGAGTTGACATAGCGTACATCTTGCTTTGAACACCGGGCAGTTTCTTAAAATGAAGACCAGCATTAGCACCCTCGAGCAACTGCTGGGACCCAAGTCATAGGCATTTTGGTCCACCCACTCTCTTGACTGCAGCTGGTTCTGGGAATCACTGCACCATTCAGGGGCATTGTGGGTAATTAAGATGGTTGGTGGATTCCCAGAGTCTGCCACTGTTAACAGGTAAGCCTAATGGGGCAGAGACCAATCATGGGAGCCAACCATTTGGGCACCTTGCCCCCACCCCGATTTAAAGCCAAATCTGTTTTAACACACACACTCATTTTCTTCTTTGTCTAAACTACTTTCTTTGAGTGCTTTCTCATTCACTTTCCTTCCTCTTTCTCAGTCTGTTGTATCTATTCATCAATCACATGGTGACTTGTGGCCTCTTTATCGCTAGACCTCAGCCTGCCTCAGAAGCCATTCTTGTCCCTAGAGCCTGGGTGGGGACTTTAATCCCAGCCAAACTTTCCTTTCCCTCACAAAATAAAAAAAAAATGTGGGTTTGGGGGAACTGGAATGTTTTTATTATTATTTGTGTTTTTATTGTTTATTACTTTTGTTGGTCACTGTATACAAAAGGGGGGGAAACTCTTAGAATGATTTAACAGGACAAAATGCTGCAGATGAAACAATTAAAACTGGAAAAGTTAAAACAATGAATGCAAGAATACACAAAATGCTCATCCAATAACATATTAATAAGGACAAGTCCTAACCAGTCCATTAAAGGAAGGGCACCACCATAGGGGCCTATTTAATTACCAAAGGCCTGAGCAAATGAAAAAGGTCGGGGGTGGGGATGTTTCTGTGAAAAACACTGTGACATTTTGCACATGATATTCTTCCATTTTTCATATTTGAAAAGTTTTGTGCACCACTGACAAGGTAACAGGTGCCCAAAATTAGTGACAAGGCCAGTAGTTAAATAATTATGACAATGGTGATGCTGGCTGGAGGAAATAAGGATGGTTCAGCATGAAGAGAGGCTGTTGGCAGCAACTAGGAGGCAGTGAACTTGGTTTCTGTTATTGTTTACAGGTCCACAGGAACTGAGATGCTTTTCCCGAATTTTCCCTGCGCAGATGCGCCTTGGGTTTTCCGACTGGCACATCTGGCTTTCTGTTTGGAGCCGTCCTCCTAACAGCCGCTTTACCCGGGTACAGAGGCTCACTTGCTGCCTGCTCATGGTTCAACTCTTCCTAGCTACGTGTGCCGTCTGGTATGGTGCAGTTGGAGTTAAGGGCCACAGGTGAGCATATCGGGGGGCAAGGGAGGGAATGTGCAATAGGTGCAATCAGAAAGTAAGGATGAGCTCAGTGGAATGTTACTGACATAGGTAAAGGTAAAGGTACCCCTGCCCGTACGGGCTAGTCTTGCCAGACTCTAGGGTTGTGCGCCCATCTCACTCTATAGGCCGTGGGCCAGCGCTGTCCGGAGACACTTCCGGGTCACGTGGCCAGCGTGACATCGCTGCTCTGGCGAGCCAGAGCCGCACACGGAAACGCCGTTTACCTTCCCGCTTGTAAGCGGTCCCTATTTATCTACTTGCACCCGGGGGTGCTTTCGAACTGCTAGGTTGGCAGGCGCTGGGACCGAACGACGGGAGCGCACCCCGCCGCGGGGATTCGAACCGCCGACCTTTCGATCGGCAAGCCCTAGGCGCTGAGGCTTTTACCCACAGCGCCACCCGCGTCCCTTGTTACTGACATACCATCCTTTTAAAACACATGACCCTCTCTACCCCCCAAATCATGGGGTGGGGGATGGCCTCAGTCCAGTAAACCTGAAGGAGCGTCTCCACCCCCATTGTTCAGCCCGGACACTGAGGTCCAGCGCCGAGGGCCTTCTGGCGGTTCCCTCACTGCAAGAAGCGAAGTTACAGGGAACCAGGCAGAGGGCCTTCTCGGTAGTGGCACCCACCCTGTGGAACGCCCTCCCACCAGATAGCCAATGAAATTAACAACTATATGACTTTTAGAAGACATCTGAAGGCATCCCTGTTTAGGGAAGCTTTTACTATTCGATGAATTATTGTATTTTAGTATTTTGTTGGAAGCCGCCCAGAGTGGCTGGGGAAACTCAGCCAGATGGGCAGGGTCTAAATAAATTATAATTATAATTATTATTATTATACCTATGGCCAAAGAGCTCGAAGAGCTACAGTTACCAGCATCTTAACAAACTACAGTTCCCAGGATGCCTGGGGGAGAGGGGAGTTAGATGCTTTAAGTGTACGGCTATAATCAGATGGCTCCTTTCGAGCTCTATCTGATGCATGGATATCATGTTTGTGTTTATGGTCTAAAAACTGTGCCCTCAGAAAGGAGTCCACATAAAATATTACACTATTCAGATCATTGCTCTCTTACTCTAGGCTCTGGCTAAATGGCTAAATCTACATCCCCCCCCCTTGCAGCTATCCTGTTGGAAGACAGATTTCTGTGACTGCAGAGAGCATTGTGGTTGGAATAACTGCAGCATTCGTGGTTTATCCCATACAACTACTCTTCAGTTTTCTCTTCCGGAAAACACGCAGTAAGGTACCTCCTTCAATCATAAAGGCAAGCTAACCAGGAACCGAGGAAGGAAAGCCACAAAAACAGACATAACTGATAAGAATGGGAAAAATACAAATGCTATAGAATTGTAGAGGTGGAAGGGACTGCTGAGTCATGAATCGTTTCCTTTACATTGTGAAATGAATTAGAAATTACTAAGCAAGTGTTGAGTGGAGCACCAGCCTCTCACGTGGGTGGCAGCAGGACAAGGACCCCACTGAATGTTTGGTTAGGGTGCGTGAACATGTCCCCTCTGTCCAACAGATTGTAATAGAAGATCCTGACCCGCCTGCTCAGGACTGCCAGACTGTGGAGATGGAGGTGTCTCTTGACTGCTCTAACTTGGGTAGCTCCTCCTTCTTATCTGTCCCTGGAAGAATGGAGTCCATTGTGGATATGGGTTCTGTTGGCAGTGTGAGTAGAGCTATTCTGTGGGCCTCGTAGTGGCAATAGAAAGAATTTCCACAGTGTTGTATGGAACAGGCAAATGCTGAACTTGCATGAGATCCTGTAACCCAGTGTTTCCCAACCTTTTTTGGGCAAAGGCACACTTGTTTCATGAAAAAAATCTCGAGGCACTCCACCATTACAGCCCCGTGACGTCAGCGCGCAGCGTCACGCCAGGAGGGACGCACGAAAGTGTAAGTTTCAATTTTTTCCCCTCCCCCTTGCCTTCCTTCTGTGCCAACCGCCAAAAAAGCCAAGAATCGCGGGACCGCCGGCGGAGGGGGGGAGGGCGAGCGGAGGCAGCGGCGAGCCCCGTTCCTCCCCATCCGCCCCATTCCGTGCAAGGAGCGCGAACAGGTGTGAGAAGGGGGTCAAACCTGCGGGTCGGCGCTGGGGAACCTCCAAGCTTTGGGGGGGGGGAGGAGGCAGCAAAGCGAGGCAGGAAGGAGAGCACGGCTTAGCTGGGTGAGCTTTGGCAGGGGCAGGGAATGAGAGCGGCGAGGCGGGCGTTGCGGACGGAGGCGCTGCCCGCCGAGCTCGCAGGCAGCCAGGCAGGCAGACGGCGAGAGCCCCGCGCTGGGCGGCCTCTCCTTGCCACCGCCGCCCCGCCTCTCGCCGCCCGACTCGCCCGCCTCCCTCCAGGCAACATCTCGCGGCACACCAGGCAACGTCTCGCGGCACACTAGTGTGCCGCGGAACACCAGTTGGGAAACACTGCTGTAACCAACCAGCAACCTCTGCAGGCTTGAGCTATTGTTTTAAAAAGCATTTATATCAATATATAATGTTCAACGTGCTATGCATATAATATCTTGATTGTCTTTACAAGAACCCTGTGAGGTAGTTTGATTGCTTGTACTTATCATCATCACCCCCATGTTGCAATGCAGGAGCTGAGTCTTGAGAGACTGTGCCTTACCTAAGACCAGCTAGTGAGCTTGTAGTTGAGGCGAGGTTTGGATTTCCTGGTTTAAACTCCTGCCTCCTCATCCCACCGCAAGGGATTTGGCTACCAAGGACATCCAGAGGACATCTTGCATTTTCAAAGCTTTTTTTTTTTTTTACAAAATAGAATTCTTAGTTGTGATGCCTTTGTCAGCCACTTCTATCTTAAAGGAGCTGCTTTGCTGGAATAAATTCTTCAGATCATGAGATACATTTCCAGGAGTAAAGAAAAACGGTATCCACCTTTATTTTATGTTCTACACAACTATACATTGGTACCTCGGGTTACAGACGCTTCAGGTTACAGACACTTCAGGTTACAGACTCCGCTAACCCAGAAATAGTACATTGGGTTAAGAACTTTACCTCAGGATGAGAACAGAAATCGCGCGGTGGCAGCAGGAGGCCCCATTAGCTAAAATGGTACCTCAGGTTAAGAACAGTTTCAGGTTAAGAATGAACCTCCAGAACGAATTAAGTTCTGTTACCGAGGTACCACTGTAAAGGGTGGTGCCCTGTCATCTATTTCATCTAGTTACCCTCAGTTTGACTTCCGTTCAATCTGACATAGTAGCAGAGAGATTAGTTTACTTCTATACCCTGAATAGTAATCGGGATGAAGGTTCCTTTGAGGTTTACAGTTCTTGGTTTTATGTGGCATCCATACTTGGCATTTCCCTGCCTTTTGACCATTTTAATTTGTTTTATTTTGTCTTTTACAGGAATCCCTCTTTAGTAGAAAGCCAGTTTCCAACCAGAAGAACTTCATAGGCAACGACAGGTATTGTTACAATACTGCATGGCAATAGCAAAAATAGCAAGGGAGCATGACAGTTTCACCTTGGTCCTAGAAACAGCTCTCCCATGATGCTGCTTCACCTCGTGTGGGTGGGTGCGCACGCATCGGGACAAAGCATGTAATAAATCTCACATTTAGTTTGGCCCTCAGAGTAGTGAGTTAGCCACAAAACAACCCTGAGAAATTATGACTTTGCTTACAGCTATCCTGCAAACTTCTTGGTTGAGTGGAACCTTGGATTTCTGCTGGCATATCCAATCACTTAGCTACAGTAGCATCCTGGCTTTGGTAGGTTTGTCTGAGCAGACCTTGAGGCACAAGAATCTTTTCTCACCCCAGAACAGCCTTCCCTAACCCTGTTCCCTACCGATGATGTTGATTGCTGGCTCTCTCATCAACCCCAGCCAGAAGGGGCAATGGTCAGGGATGTGAAAGTCTGTTTCAGATTATCATCGCCAGTTGTTGTGACGTGGGGTTTGTGATTTCAGCTCTCTTAACATAATATGCTGGAGACAGTTCTCTAGTAACACTTCTTTATTAAAGCAAACAAGACTGAGACCTGAGGAGGGGAAGCTACATTTATAGGGACAGGGGACTAGCTAGAAAGGATACATTTTGGAGGGAACAATATCAGGCAATCACAGTCCTGCCTTTTGGAGGAAACCAATAAGACAGAGGATCCAAATACAGCAGCTTAAATGAACCAATAGTAGCTGTACCCTCTGAAACCAAAAGGCAGTTACTTTACCCTAATGCAAATAGAGACAATAATAATACACATATAAAATCCTTTGACTCAATACACAACACCAGCTACAGTTGAAGCATCCTCAACTAGTTAAACAAGGTGTGAGCTTCCTACTGGCCAAGGTTCTGACCTTATTCAGGTGCCTTTTCAAAAATCTGCAGGGCTGCCAATCAATGGCCTTCATGCAACAGCATATTTGATATTCCGGACCTTCTGAACTCTGACCCCCTGATGAATGGAAGTAGGATTCTCAAGAGGAAGAAGGCAATGGCAAAGTTGGGAATTGACTCCATGTCCAGTTCTGATGATGACCCCCTGTCCTTTTCATTCAGAGATTCTGAGGACAGTAGGAGGTCGAGCTGTGGCCATCATTCTGGTAATCTCCTACCACATTTTTCCTACTATGTCTCCCTTGCACTCAGTCTCTCTCACACATAGATTCACTCCTGTTTATGAGTAGACGTTTGGCTATGGTAAAAAAACGAACCAAAGGTTTACTTGGTAGATTAATCAACCTAGGCTGCAATCCTAATACTCACTAGAGGAGTAGGTCCCACTGAACACAGCAGGGCTCACTGTTGAGTAAACATGCGTAGGATTGCACTGCATCCTTTTACTGATAAATTTGGGCCAATCATAAGTGAAAGCAATTTCTAGCTGGTTTAGGGTACACTTGTTTGTTTGCTTTTTATGCTATTTTGATTCCGAAAAGGAACTTTGAAAGTTGGCCTTCCTCATAATGAGCTACTTCTTCCTATATACATAAAAATGTAAGGCTGTCATCACGCAGACCCCACTTTGAAGGATTTGTAATGAAAAAGATGCTTTGTAGTTGTAATGTGTGGTAGGAAAAATAAAAAAATTCCTTCCAGTAGCACCTAAAAGACCAACTAAGTTAGTTCTTGGTATGAGCTTTCGTGTGCATGCACACTTCTTCAGATACATGCACACGAAAGCTCATACCAAGAACTAACTTAGTTGGTCTTTAAGGTGCTACTGGAAGGATTTTTTTTTATTTTGACTATGGCAGACCAACACGGCTACCTATCTGTGTGGTAGGAGGAATGGACATAGGGATGAAGATCGAAAGTGGGGTGCAAAGCAGGGCTGCAGAATAGGTGAGAGAAGTGGCTTCAGAAATGGGGTTGGGAAGGTGAAAAGCAAGCTTAGCTGCATGAAGGCCTAACAGTAGGACCTACTTTATAACTTCAGTTTTTCTTATTGTCCCCACAGCGGAAGGTTTGCTCAACTGTGTGGTTGACAGAACTCAGGAGAACATCTCTGACTGTGTCACATCTGACAGTGGCCGGTTTTCACCCCAAGTTGAAGCAGATCTCATCTATGATGGGTATGTTCCCTGGTCTGCTGCTGCCTTGAGCAGCCATTCAACTCAAGAGATGGGGGCTCGCGGGAGCGGAGGGAACAAGGTTAAGAAAGTAAATGGATGGACAGCCCAAACTCATAATAATTAGTACCTCAATCAATTGAGTTATACACATAAATACAGTCGTTCATTCCCATTTGGGTTGTTTTCAGTTAAAAAAGCATATTTTGGTTAATGAAAACAGGCAGATATGTGGTGAAAGTGGTTTGAGGCATTGCTTTTCTAGGCAGAGAGGCTGTGTTCAAACTGATCCTGCTACACTTAGATTGCATGTATCTGCACCCCAAGCACAGTGTATCTCAAAGTGAGGTCTGAACAAGCTAAGCCTGATTATTATTATTATTAAAAAATAATATATTTAAAGTATTATTATATATTTATTTATACCACCAAATAAAAACCACCAAAACCAGAAAATAATAATTAAACAACAGGGAAACACTGATAGAATTAAAACTATCTATATCTATATCTATATCTATATCTATATCTATATCTATATCTATATCTATATCTATATCTATATCTATATCTATATCTATATCTATATCTATATATCTATATCTTATCTTATCTTATCTTACACATATTATTTGACCTCAAGTTCAGACTCATCCAGGTGCAATAGCAGCAAGCCTGCATTAGCCTCAAAATTAGACATGTCTGTGCCAGCCTGTGAGCTGCCTGTAGTCCCCCATTCTGAAATGGCTCCTATGTGTTGTTGTACTTTCCCTGGTGGCTGAGACACATCCTTTGCCTCTAATTCTGGCACATTCTTCTTTTGTCCCCTTGGCTGGCAGAATGGAAAGTTCTAGTAGTGGCTGGTCCGATGGGATTGTGCAGCATGGAAGCAGCTGGGGCTTACTGCGGAAGTCATTCTCTTATGTATCTGCTATGACCAATATTGGCAGCGCTTTCTTTTCTGACCTGGAACTTCCTCCTGCTACTGTTTCCTCGCTTTCTACCCGGATTGGTATGTGTGAACACTAATGGGATACGCCCTCGTAGACTTGTATTATGGGAGCCTCAATGCTGGGACAGGGGCACCTGTAATATGAATTAACATAGATTAGATTTCCCTTAAAGGTAAAGGTAAAGGGATCCCTGACCATTAGGTCCAGTCGTGGCCGACTCTGGGGTTGCGGCACTCATCTCGCTTTATTGGCCGAGGGAGCCGGCGTACAGCTTCCGGGTCATGTGGCCAGCATGACTAAGCCACTTCTGGCGAACCAGAGCAGCGCACGGAAATGCCGTTTACCTATCTATCTACTTGCACTTTGACGTGCTTTCGAACTGCTAGGTTGGCAGGAGCAGGGACCGAGCAATGGGAGCCTGTCGCAGGGATTTGAACCGCCGACCTTCTGATCAGCAAGTCCTAGGCTCTGTGGTTTAACCCACAGCGCCACCCGCGTCCCTTTCAGATTTCCCTTAGCACACTTTCTCTTTTGTACATATGATCAAGGCAGCTAAATTTCTTCTCCCACCTTTTGCCACAGTTGTTTAAAGGCAGAATCAGAATTTTATTATGTGTTGAGGTATAGTAATTATTCTGGATTAACTAATGCAGGGGCGGGGGGGGGAGAGAAACAGTCTGTTTTTCTTTTCACATGTCATTGACCCGGTGAAGCTAGTGCCTGGACCCCTGTGCAACAAAAAGACATGCCATTTTCATGGCAGTCTTAAGGGCTGACAAAGGATAGGATGGTGCAGCATTTGATCCTGGTCAAATTTTACTCCTGACAACTTAACCCTTTCTGTTGTTTTATGTAGACTTTGGAATAGTCTCCTCAGAAGAAGATCATCTGCCCCTTTCCATAATATATTTCAGCGAAAACAATTTTATTTATGCATACTGTTAAAGTAAAAGCAGATAAATGGCTGTAGGAGGTTGCTTTGAGTTTCTGTAATGATACAGTCGTACCTTGGTTCTCAAATGCCTTGGTACTTGAATGTTTTGGCTCCCGAACGCTGCAAACCTGGAAGTGAGTGTTCCGGTTTGCAAAACATTTTTCGGAAGCTGAACGTCCAACGTGGCTTTCCAATTGAGTGCAGGAAGCACGTGCAGCCAATCGGAAGCCACGCTTTGGTTTTCGAACAGTTCAAGGAGTTGAACGGACTCCCAGAATGGATTAAGTTCAACAACCAAGGTACAACTGTATATGTTTTCCCAAAGTAGTTTATTATGGTTTTCTCTTCTGTGATTTTACATGATTTTATTGTTTTGAATTTATTTTGTTGGGAACACAAAATACTGTTGGACACCATGTGTTTAATGCTACATATATTGTTTTGGAATATTATTTGTTTCTTTTTAAAAAAATAAATAAATTGGACACTTTTAAGTGGAAATGAAGAATGAATATGGTCTCACTTGAGTGATGTCCTCTTATGGACCATGAGGCATTGAGGATGAGATTGCTTTCTTAAATGGGGCAAGGTGCATTTTCTGGTTTAGGAGGAGGTGATTACAGGGCTTAGAAGTACTTGGGCAAGGGTAATTTTGCCCTGCCCTGGATGGATTGATATAATAGATGAATGCTGTGTTCAACCTAACAGAGATAGAAATGCCCATGGCTGCCTTTCATACAGATGAAATCAAAGCTCTTAGGAACAGGAAGGATCCTGGGATTCTCCAAATAAAAGGGGATGTAACTCCAGGTGCTTGGTTGTCTTTATTTTAGGGGTGCCCCGAGACCTCAGGAAATGGCTCTTCCCTGCCAGGAATGCTCCCAGCTATCTACATAGCCATCTTCTTGCTGGCTTGCTGGCTGTTTTCTCCATCAATATCTTATATGGCTCCTCCTTCCTTGACCACACTGCCTTGATGTGGCTCATCTTCCTCTGCCTTTGCTTTCGCCACATCTTTCATCTTTTGGAGCCAATGAAGGTAATAGCACAACAAAATTCATTGGCACTGCTGGAATTTTCTCAATGGTCACACCTGCTATATATATATCAGTGGTACCTTGGTTCTCAAACTTAATCCATTCCGGAAGTCTGTTCCAAAACCAAAGCGTTCCAAAACCAAGGTGCGCTTTCCCATAGAAAGTAATGCAAAACAGATCAATCCATTCCAGATTTTTAAAAACAACCCCCTAAAACAGCAATTTAACATGAATTTTACTATCTAATGAGACCATTGACCCATAAAATGAAAGCACTAATCAATGTACTGTACTGTAAAATAAATAAGACAGTATTGTAGATGATTAAA